TTTATTGTTTTCAAACATAGAAATGGTAGCTGCGATTAAAATTCAGCAAAGCTACAACCAACTATTCATAGTACTGCAACCCTAACATACTTTATTTGTCCTTTTAGCACTAAGTTGTTGCATATAGCTATGCAAGCATAATTAAATAGCTACTTGCTACTATCTAACAGAACCATGCTTTCCTGTTCAGTCAAAGTAAATTAAGGAGCAATTAGGCACATAAATACTAACCTCCATACATAAAGGGACATATTCTTTGTGCGCCTTTAGAATAATAGCCTTGTTACTTGTTTCAAGGCAGAATGTCAACCAGTTCAAAGTTAAAGAACGGACAAGTGGAACTTTGTTTTTCACTGCTGTCTTTACATCTGCAAAAGAGAGCAAAGATAATTGGAAAACAGATGAAAGACAGAGATGTTTAAGCAAATCGGACACCAAGCATCTGAAAACTGATAAAAGAAATATCTAAACAAGATAATTATAAGCAAATCATTAGGGCTTCATATAAAAATTCAAGATACAACTGACTCTTGCCTTCTATAAAGTCAACAAGATTCAAACACCCAGCTTTGTACATTGCTTGTAGTGTTTGTGTAAGTGCCTCTGCGACTGTGGGCTTCTTCTCTTTCAATTTTTCCTGTTCAAGGAACAAACAGTCTTCAAGTTTGGTAACAAATACTGAACTAAAACCCAACCAGCTACCTAAGTCCATTATTATCTGACAAGGGAAAATGTATACTCAAAAGACTTAAATATAAAATGATTCTACTAGACTCACAAGTAAAACAGGTAGCATAAACCGTGAACTAGCGGAGAAATGTGTTCTTAAACCACGTGCAAGGTTTCCAATGGCTTGAATGGCTTCCACTGCAACGGCTAAGTTCACATCCGTGATGAGCTGCGATTGAAATGATTTACAAATCAAATCGCAAGTATACATAATTAAGCAGGATTAAATCATGAACAACAGCAGCATCTACACACTAAAAACTGCAATAAAAAAAATCATTTTGCCTATTCGAAGGTTGAAACAAAACACATGAATTTTAAACTTCAGATTAATCAATAATCACAGATATTTGCAAGCTGCATCAACACCAATTAGATAATGTTGCAAGGGGGCTAAAACATACAAAGGATTATAACATATAACTGATAATCTATGCTGCCTAAACTTCTTATTGTGGAAAGTTAACTACCTTCTTTAAGGTCCGACAAATTTCTGAAAAATCACCAGGAGCTATCTTTTTAGTAGAAGCAAGCTTTGTTAGCTCTGCAACAGCCTCCTTACGTTCTGACCACTTTGTAGCTTTCTAAAAGAGATAAAAAGTTAGTTAGTGTAATATGTCACATGCAATCAAATTGGGAAGTTAGTACTATCTTATATAAGTTCTTTTAGTAAAGGACAACTGCAATAAATAACGCATAAAATATGACAATGTGGCGTTTAGAATCTACAACTCACCACTCCCTCCCAGAACCCAGACTTTTCCAAAGGAGTCAAAATGTCTACAGGATCCATAAGATCATACTCATCTATTTCCTGAGGCGCTGATAGTAATGGGTAGACAAAGAAGAATCAAATTAAGCAGCTTTCTCAAAATTACTTAGTGAAGAAACAATTCACTGAAGTACAAACTACTTACCATCAGCAACAGGTTCTTCACTGGGCCCATCACCCACAACATCAGAACTAGCTTCTGCCTCTGGTTCTTTATCTTGCTCAGACCTTAAAAGCCAAATACAGAATTAATCTAATTGCAGCTTTTCAAAATCATGCTAGAAGTTTTTTCACGCAAGAAAACAAAAGGACCATGAAACGAAAAAGACTCCTCAGGCATATACGTTTAATTATCCAGAAACTTGGCAAAAGTAAATTGAATCTTCACAAATCATAAGCTGCATAAAGGTGAAACTGGATCTGCTTTTACCTTCAAAAATCTCGAATGCATGTGCCAATAAAAAAAAGGCAAGATAGTAAAAAATGGTTAAAAAAACAATTGGTACGTGGTAGTTACCTAATCTTTCGAGTAGGCTTGGCACCTCCTGTAACATTGGCAAGCTCAGCCTCCAGCTCTTTTTTCTTTAAAAAAAACAAACGAATATTAGCGTTTGCGAAAGAGCACTAGGGAATATAGAACTTATTCCACAGATTTTTTGTGCATGACTTAAAGAAGATAATATGAAGTAAACTTTCAAATCAAGGGCGGAATTTACAGCCAAGGGTGTGGTTCTGATTTGCATTGGGGTCTATCTTCTATTTGTTTTGACTAGAAACCCATATTTAGGTTTCCTATTAAAAAAAAGCAATTTTAAACCAGATCATATCATCTTGGCAGCATGGCTAAGCTGCAAATTTAGGGACCCACATAAATCTTACCATTGTATCCCTCATTTTCTCAAACAATATAGACTTTACAGGGTCTTTTCCAATCCAACGGCACAGCTCAAGAGTCACCCCTTTGGCAGATGCGCGGACATTTTGATCTTGATGGTCGAAAAGTTCAGGAAGCATCTTTAAAATCCTTTTCGGTGGAATAACCTTTGATCCAAATTCACTAAGATAGAAAAAAAAAAACTAGTGTCGTTATTTCATATAAAAGATTTCAAGAACCAATGAAGAAAACAAACTAGGACTTTAACACAGACCTGAGAGCTTGAAACATAACGTCTACTGCAGGTACCACAGCCTTTGCCACTTTATTCTTTATAGCTTTCTCCAAGGTATCCTACAATCATGTCAAACCTGTTAACTTGTATACGGATTATGTTCTCCTAAAAAAACGACATAACTCCCAATAAACATCTTCTTAACAGTTGAAAATTAGAATGACTAAAACGATGCATTTCAAGTGGAATTATCGCCTTAAGGCAGGGCCTTAATGCTTGGGGAATAAATTAAAAATTGCCGTGGGAAATGATACTTGGAACTAAACACTTAACTATCCAGATTCCTTTCTCCTTCAGAAAGAAAGTATAATTTATGGCAGAAATGACCCTAACAGATCGAAACACGGTAACAACAACTTAAAAACTGGAAAGGTTGATTACTGGAACAGACCACAGAAGATTCCATTCGACTTCAAAAACAGAATGCTCTAGTGAAATGTCAGCCATAGTTATTTAAAATGCTACTTTCCTATTCTATCACACTAGACACCTAGCGTAACACAGAGCTGAGCAACATAGCTACATGCTATATTCTACACCACTTCGGAAATGGTTAGCATTCTGGGTTATAAAGCTCTTTCATTTCTATGTCAGCTCCCCTATCTAGTATCAGCAACCTAGCAAGCAATACTATGCATCAGAGTACAGAGTTAGGTGTATGTATCTAGATAGACCTTACAGAGTTGCAAGAACGTAGAATGAATGGCATACCAGAAATACATCAACCGCTTCTAATTCTACCCAAAGCAAGAAAGCATCCTGCGCCTTCTGCACCGTCTTCGGCCGACCCGTGAGGCATTTGGCCGCAATGGCATCGCAAACTTCCTTTCCGTACCTTCAAAAGCAGAAACAAGCTAACTATTCACATGCAAACAACCACTCGCTCTGCACTTTTCTAGAGCATTAAAAAAAAAAAAAAAGCAGCACCATACCTTCCAGCGTCTGAGTCGGCTGCTTTCAAAAACGCAATCAATGCATCGAGAGCTTTCTCTTGCACTGGCGCATTGGAATCCGCCACCGTCTTCCTAAACAAGTGACCTGTGCAAAAACAAAAGCGAAAGAAAATCAGAAATCTAACCAAAAGCAAAGCAATATAGAACACTAGACACACCACATTCCCGCTCCGAAATCCAAATTCAAAGCAGATCCGCAGCGAGATAGAACGCCCCAATCAGATCTGAGCCTCGAAATTAAAAACCCTAACGACCAAAACACGAGGCGAGAAAAAAACTCACCAAAATCGCGTAGTCGAGGGTCCTTGGGATCGGTAATAGAATCACAGACGGAAGCTAGGTCGACGTTGGCCTCATTTCTAACCTTCCAATTCTTGTGCGCCAGCCGATCCTCCCATGGAAGCTTCTTCGCCTCCTTCAATAACTTCTCTTCCTCCGACATTTTCACAAATCAATCTCTCCGGTGATATCGATCTTATCGATCTATATACCAGCCTTGTTCGTATGGTCTCCCTCAGCTTTCTCTCTCTTTTCAAATTTTTTTTGTTCGTGTTGTTAGTGCCGGCAAGAGAGAGAGAGAGAAAGACAAAGGACAAAAGGAGAGTAGGGTGGAGCGTAATCAGAGAGAGAGAGAGAGAGAGAGAGAGTGGAGGAATTTTGGTTTCTACGTTTTAAATCGGTGGTGTAATTTCTTCTTAATACACCTCACGCGCCCATTTATTGGAAGTGAATGCACGCGCGATTATTTCAAATCTTATTAACGAGCGTTTTCTTTCTCTTTTTCCACGTGGAAAGATCGGCATTTTCAAACTATTTTAGGTAACAAAAACAAAAATTTCCTATTATCGGTGCAGTAATATTTTTAAAATATACCCAAAAGCCCCTTTCTAGTTGATGTAAATGGAAAATGATTTAGTGGTTTGTAAATCTATACAAGTATTATGTGTTTTTTTTTTTTTGAAGATGGCCTTTACAAGTTTTTTGTGTTAATGGATCATTATTAATTTTATAATATGTACTAAATCATCTGTTATATGTTCTAGAAAGTATAAATACTACCTAAAATCAAATAAGATTTTGAAAGATTTTCAGATTCAAATTTGAATGTTTAGTTTGTTAATTTGCGGATGCTTGCTTTGACAGTAATTAAGGAGAAAACTGCTTCTACTTATTCGGTTGGTAGTTGCCGGTTTTAGAAATACGGGCTTTTCGCAGGCCCATATTGATGTTTTACGGACCTAACAAGCTCTCCCCCACGTTCGGGCATAATACTGGCCTATTGGGTTTTAAGATAAAGAAAGCGTCGGTCGACACGTGCGGGAAATCCTGATAGGCACGTGTGATCTCCACTTCGCCTCTCTCATTGGTCATAAACTAGCCGATTCTCCAAAGTATCTCACATTTTTCGTTACTGAACACTCTTCTTTTCTCTCTCTTCACTCTCTCATAAATCACAAAAAAAAAGTCGATTTCTTTTTTTTTTGAGTTAGACTTTGCTTTACAGCTCAATTGCGTCTTCTTCCTCTGTCCTATTCTTCTTCATCTTCCTCCTCGCGGATCCATTTTGAGGTTCGTGCAATTTTTACATTTCCTTCCATTCTCTTTCGCAATTTTTTTTTTGGGTGGGGAAGTGGGATTTTCGTATATCGGTGAATCGTTCTTTTATTTCGGTTTGACTCTTCAGTTCTTCTCGTGCTGAGACTGCAATGATTCCCCTGAATTTCGTGATTTCAGTTAGATTTTTAGCTGCCTGAGGTCCTCGTTAAAGAGGTGTTGTTGGGGGGGTTTATTTGAAGGAAATTTCAATTTCGCTTTCGCTTTCTGATTTTGGATTTGATCCGATTTGGAGAACGTCACTGTTCACTGTGCTGTAAATGTAGATGATAGCATGCAAAGGCTGTGCATCGATGTTTTGGAAAGCTTGGAGCCCGATTCCATATCACATTGCTTACTTTACTTCCTAATATAGAAAATGTTCTTGAATGCATATAGTTCTGAGCTCGAATTCATTCGGAGAACAATACTGTAAATTCCGCGTATCTAAGGATTCATCATCTTTAGATTTGTAGACTTGTTCGAAGATTAGTTTCGTGCAAATTACTTGTCTTGATTGAGTTTCAGTGAGGGGGGTCTCCTGTTCTTTTCATACATTCTAATGATGTAAATCTCTTTTTATCTAAAGGAGCCTCTTTTTGTTTCGTGAAGATTAGGCAGGGCATCACCGAGCAGCTGAGTATATATGTTACGAGAGGAACATTCAGGAGGCTGTTCTTTCAGATGATTGGCAGTAACTATATTATGCTTGAACGGTGCCATAATGGGCATCTGTCTGATGAAGCGCTTCTGCTCGTGGCTTCTTTTGGTCTCATTGCTTTGTGCACTTGCGAATGAAAACGAAGCGATTAGTCCTGATGGTACAGCGATATGTTTCATTAATATCTTCCATGTACTGCGTCTAGTATACTGTGGGGTTTCAATAATGTTTGTTCCTTTGATCTCTAGGTGAGGCGCTTCTGAGTTTTAGAAGTGGGATTTCTAGTTCTGATGGTGTCATCGGTCAATGGAGACCAGAGGATCCTGATCCATGTAACTGGAAGGGAGTGACCTGTGATACCAAAACGAAAAGAGTTATAGCCTTGTAAGCTTGAAACTTGTTTGGTTAAATCTCCTTTGTTTCTTCATATGTAGAGCATCCTTTGCTGGTTTCTGAAGTTTTCTTGTTCGCAGGAGTCTTACTCATCACAAATTAAGGGGACCTTTACCCCCTGAGATTGGAAAGCTGGACCAGTTGAGGCTTTTGTATGTGCTAACCTTATCTTTATTTTATTGCTTATTAGAGTATCCCTCTCTTGCTCAACTTTTGTGTATTCCCTTGGTATCGCAGAAATCTTCACAACAATGATTTATATGACTCAATACCTACAGCATTGGGAAATTGCACGGCATTGGAGAGAGTGTAAGTGTTTTCCCAAAATACTTATGCTGATCACACTTCCTTGCTGAGAGAGCTTTTATTTTTCGTTTCTAAAATTTATAATATCTTCTCAACAAAAAAGTAGGTTATGTTTTTCTACCAATTGCTTTGACAGTTGCTGTATAAGATTGTTGTGTCTTGTGAGCGATGATAAACCAACGGGTTTCGCCAGTCAAAAGTTTAGCTGGTTTACTAAATATGTGTGAAATTGTTTTCTTGCAGATACTTGCAGAATAATTACTTCACGGGGCCAATCCCAAGTGAAATGGGAAACCTATCCGAGCTTAAAAATTTGTACGCGGTCTTTCTCCCTGTTCTTCTTAATAAATTTGTTTTCTTGGCCTCTGCATGATCTGCTATTTGTTGTTCCATTAGCTACTTTCCATTTAGTGTTCCCGATAGATATATACTGAACCACAAGAGGTTCTTCTCACCTTCCATGAAGTAACAAGATAATATTTCGAAATCACTTATTCCTCCATTCGTGGTGAACCTCAAAAAGTACTGGTAATTTGACAGCGTGATGGTACTTTAGCGGTTGAGAATCTGGTAGAAACATAATTAATATCCAACATACGTATTGTGAACTTTGTGATGGGTGAAAAACTCTCGAATATGATAGGGTTTGACTCAGATCAAATGGGCATATCATTTGGATTCTTCTGACCTGCTAAGCTGGTTTTTTTACTCTCTTTTTATAAAGGGACATGTCAAGCAACGATCTCAGTGGAGCTATCCCTGCTTCACTTGTGCAGTTGAAAAAGCTTGCTAATTTGTGAGTGGCTGGTCTCTAACTTACGTATTTATTTTGCAGCCCTGTGTGTATTTTCTTAGTGTCGTTGTTACTAACTATGTTGGTTCTTCTTTTGAAGCAATGTCTCTAACAATTTTCTGGTGGGGAAAATACCTTCTGACGGCGTACTCGCTCAATTTTCGAGGGACTCGTAAGTATACTTCATCTTTACCCCACTTCCCCAACTAGAGTTTTGCTAATAAATGTGGAGATCTCTCTACTGTTGATCCGGCAAAGCTATATTTATGCGACTCTGTGCGCAATAGCGCCATGTTGCTAGCTTTGTACCAGTGTATAGTTGAAATTAACGGAGCCTTGAACTGATTCATTACTCCTTGCAGCTTCATGGGAAATCTTAAATTGTGTGGAAAGCAAATCGATGTGGTGTGCCAAGATGACAGTGGAAACTCTTCTACTAGGTCTTCAACAGGTAAAGCTGCTGTGTCTTAATCAATTTGCTGGTCAGTGTATATGGATTATAGTTTAGACTTTGAGTAATTTGTTGAATTCGTTGTGAGATGAGTTTGCTTTTTGGTGTCTCCCATATTATAGACCAAGGAGGTAAGACTGGTAAGCTGCTTATAAGTGCATCAGCTACTGTGGGTGGGCTGCTCCTAGTGGCCCTCATGTGTTTCTGGGGATGCTTTCTCTATAAAAAGCTTGATAGAGTTGAGAGTAAAAGCCTTGCGATAGAGGTTGGTGGAGGTGAGCAATACTGACTCTTTTCGTGGATATCATCTTCTACAAAATTGGGGACTCAGCGTTATTATATACTACTCTCAAAAGTTGACACCATGAGAGACGGTTTTTTTATTTATCCAGGTGCATCTATCGTGATGTTCCATGGAGATTTGCCCTATGCTTCTAAAGACATAATCAAGAAACTGGAAACTCTTAACGAAGAGCATATAATAGGATGTGGAGGTTTTGGAACAGTTTACAAGCTGGCCATGGACGATGGCAGTGTTTTTGCGCTGAAAAGAATTGTAAAGTTAAACGAAGGGTTTGATCGGTTTTTCGAAAGGGAGCTTGAGATTCTTGGAAGCATCAAACATCGATACCTCGTGAATCTACGTGGATACTGCAATTCACCCACATCAAAGCTTCTCTTATATGATTACCTTCCTGGTGGTAGCCTTGATGAAGCTCTTCATGGTAAATCTTCAACTTCATCTTTACTGGTTTTCCTAACTGAGAATTATGACTCTATTGAGATAAAATTCTTTGAAAATTTGTAGAGAGAGGCGATCAACTGGATTGGGATTCTCGAGTAAAGATCATAGTAGGAGCAGCAAAAGGGTTAGCATACTTGCATCATGATTGTTCTCCTAGGATTATACACCGTGATATAAAGTCGAGCAACATTCTACTCGATGGAAACCTCGAGGCTCGTGTATCGGACTTTGGGCTTGCCAAGTTGTTAGAGGACGAAGAGTCTCATATTACAACCATAGTTGCAGGCACATTCGGTTACTTGGCTCCAGGTACTCAGTTGCACTAGTATAAAATAACAAACCCTTTTACTTGCGACTCTCTGTCATTAGACTTAATCTGTGAAATCATGAGTGCTTGGTTGCAGAATATATGCAAAGCGGTAGAGCGACTGAGAAAACCGATGTTTACAGTTTTGGGGTTTTGGTTCTCGAAATCCTGAGTGGTAAACTTCCCACGGATGCTTCCTTCATCGAGAAAGGCTATAACATTGTTGGTTGGGTAAGCATAATGAGATCCAGCTTTGATAATAATAATATTTTGACTAGTGAAAGCTTGAATTTGTTTTCATAAACCTTGCAGCTAAACTTCTTGATCAGCGAAAATCGGGAACGGGAGATTGTCGATAGAAGCTGTGAAGGAGTTGAGAGAGAGAGCCTTGATGCTCTTCTATCAATAGCAACGAAGTGCGTGTCTTCAAGTCCAGAAGAACGGCCTACAATGCACAGAGTGGTCCAGTTACTTGAATCCGAAGTTATGACTCCTTGCCCTAGCGACTTCTACGATTCCAGCTCCGACTGATCACATTCACACAACACAAGTGTCTTCTTCGATTTTCTGTTTTTTTACACTACAAGGTTCTGGCCATTATATTCATTTTCGGTACCACTTTTTTTTTTGTATTTTTTGGCTTAGAATGTTTCTGGGACTGATGAAATCCTTTCATTTGATCTGGATATGAAATTGAAAATGTATATGACCATTGTAGAAACACTGTTCTAAGAATCTGAATAATTTCTATATTTAAATTTTTTTTTTCCCATATTTGATTATTTTGCATGCTATTTTGGGTGCTATTTTTTAATCATAAAATATCAACGAGCCAAAAATAATAGAAAAGGGTGTCACGTTTATTTAAACTTTGATTACGATTTTATATCTCCATAACATAAAAGCTTGCAACAACGCCGTTTAAAAATCACAAATTCCCAGAGCAATCCATGCGTTGAAAAGACACCTTTCTCGCCTCCAAGTCATACCCAACGAGAAAATCCATCTGAGCAAAGTTCCCGTAGATGGCAACTTCGGTGGTCGGAATCATGCTCAGGCACACCATATCTTCACTCACTTTCACGAACGCGTTTATCGGACTAAGCTTCACGTCGGCGCCGGCGAAATGCACGGTAATCTCCGGCAAACCAATCTCTGCACTTCCGGATTTGAAACAGTGTGACAAAAGCCCCTGTGGATCACTCATACGCTTTGCTCCGGTCACAGATTCCTCCACCGCCGCTCCAAACCTGTCGTAAAAACCCGATTCGAGGAGCGTCAGCGTTGTTCCCGAGTCGATTATGATGTTTCCCGACGTCCCCGAGAACAATCCGTCGTCGTTTGGGTAATACGAGTTTCCGGTGTACGGAATCTTTGTTTTTCCGACGGAGATGGCTTCGAGCGTCAAGTAATAGTAAGTCTGAGGCTCTTTATCAACCAACGGAGTCGAAAGGACGCCGGAATCCTTAGTTAGACCGGAAGGAATCGAGCTGGTTCCTAGGTTTATGACGCTTGTGCCATTCGTGGTAGATGACTTGTGTGACAAGCAATAAGAGAATTTCTTGGAAATCGACGAACCGAGCTGTGATATTAAGGATAGCTGACCGCCACCGAGACCTATTATTCCAGAACCAGTCTCGTCGAAGGTACCACCATTGTTGTAACCGCAACCGAAAACAGTGCCGGGGAAAGAAACAGGGGATCCTGAATCAGTGTCGATGGAGATAGTCTCTGTGGCAACGTCTCCTTTGGTGAACGACTGGTCTCCGTACGAGTAACGGTACTTACATACGTTGTGGGATTTGTCGCATCCGCCTTCGTTGGTCGTTAAAGCGTGGCAGCTACGTGAGTCGCAAGGCTCGCTCTTGTAAGTAGAGGACTTCTCCTTGTCGAAGATTGGACCATTTTCTTTGTAGCATTGTTCACACGGTTTGCATTGGACCCAAGTTAGGTCGCTTCCTGTGTCAGCTATCGCGAGGACCTTCACCGGTGGAGTACCGATGGTGATACTCATGAAGAACTCGCCGCCTGCTCCGATTAAACCGGACTGGAGATCGGTTTGGGATTGCTGGTTAAAGCGGCGGGAACGAGAGATGGACCGGAGGAAAGCAGCGTTGAGGCGGTCGGTGAAGGTGTTTAGTGGGCTGTAGAGTGGGGAATGAGGAGAGTCACGGTGGATCAGCTCGACGGTGAAGTTTTGAGCCGATGAAGAGAGAGTCACCGAGGAGAAGACGAAGAAGATAGCGAAGAGGAGAACAGAATTTGCCATTGTTGATTTCAGAAAAGTTTGTGATGAAAAGTGTGAAGCTGAGAAGAGCTTTTTATACACAACAAAAATGGGTAAGCGAAGAGATTCAAAACGGTAAGGAGTTATCAGTAGTTACGTGAGAGGGAGGTGAAAGTCTGAAAGGCTGATAATTTAACGTGAGCTTAGCTTTTAAATTTCTCATTAAGGCTGATAATTTAACGTGAGATTAGTGGGGGTGTGGGGTAATCAATATCTTGATTAGATATTTTGTACTGTATTTATGATCTCAGAGCATATTTGTGTGAATGTATGTTTATACACCACACTATAGTACAAGATATATATATAATCATCAAAATCTCTCCATGAGAAACTGTTTGTGTAGAATCACATATTATATAATTATGATGGTAAGATTAGACTATGAACAAAATGGACTGCTTCATGTTACACGAACAAGATAGCAGTAAACCCTCTGAACAAAGGAGAAGCTTCAGGTGGCTACAGAACCCTCTCTTACATCAAAGAGCCACTTCTGTCTTTAAAATCCGTGCTACCATTTGCTTGTCTCATCATCATCTCTGTCCATGTCGTGAATGACGGAATACCTTAAGCGGGACGAGACCAAGAGCCTCTCCGGGGTCCTGAAGAGGTCGTTGGAGCCAGAGAAGCAGCTTGGCGTTGCAGGAGAATTAGGGTTACTCAGAGCATCTTCTTGCAAGATTTCTCGAATCCTGGACAGAATTCGAAACGCCAGATTCGCAAGGATCCGAGAATATGCCTCAAGAATTGCATGGCCAATATCCTGAAAACAGGGGAGAAAAAGTTTACTTCAAGAAACCAATGTTCTAAAGAAACAAATCTTTCTCTTCCAGATACAGAACCGAGATTTGCGAGTATGAGGCAAAGTTCTTGATATGAAGTTAAAATCTACTCACCTTGCCATATTGGATCTTTGTGGCATCAAGAAATGACTGAGGGAGATTAGAGTATTTGGATTTAATCTGATAACTAAGCCTCTCTGCCCGGTTCATGAGAGACTCAACGCGGCTAATCTCAGAAGATGAATCTCTAACTAATGACCAAGGCGCTCGCACAGGGGATTTACCACTGTTTGCTTCTTCTGTAATCCTCTGTTTCCATGCATAGACAGCTGCTTCTAACCTATTAACTGTCTCGAGTGCAGCATTTTCGGTTGCAAGCCTTAGAGACATGAAGATTTCATCTACCGAAGCAGACTCTGAAGCCAACATCTTGAACAGTTCATCCCCAAGACTTGTCTTTCCAGACTGTAAAAACCAAACAGAAGACAAGATATACAACATTATCTCTTTACATGGCAGCTTATGGACAAAAAAGCCAAGCTTACCTTAGGTAATGCATCCTTGATAAAGGATGGTACAGGCATTTCAAGAAGCACGTTCTCGTTTATTGATTTCGCAGCTTTGAAGATTTGGTAAACAACATTGCCTTTCTCTAGCAACCTCTTTCTTCCTGAGCTAGACAGACCCGGTTTTGGAACCTTAGGCGATGGAAGCCACCATTTTCTGCTCTCTCTTGTGATTTTGCTTTTACCTTCTGCCCTACGAACCACTTCTGAATACCAAAACTCTGTGTTCACCATAGAGTCCAGTGTCTCCTGTGCATTCATCAGATCAAGAGAAAGAAGCAGAATGTTGTTGATAAAGGAAAAAAATGTTGTTGATAAAAGATTACATACAATAAGCATGGAGTCCAGTTTCCGGAGAGCTGGGAGATTCATATGAATGTCTGCACGGGCTTTCGGAGTCATAACCTGATCAACACAGGAACTCTAGTTCAGTTTCTTGTAGTGGAATCTTACAGAAAGAAAAAAACTAAACACCTTACCTCAAGTGATCTTCCATTGGCGCCTTCTTGCTTAGATGGGACTAGCTCAATCATGTGGTTAGTTGGAGATAGTAACCAATCCATCTCTCTTCTCCATCTCTGCTTTTTTTCATCACACAAAGGTTCCAACTTCCAGAGCTCGCCGAATATTGACGCTGCAAATCCAAGTGATTCAGTTAGTCAAGAGAGAAGTAATGATTACCAAAAGTTGTATCAAAATGAATTTTCAATTTTCATACTGGCAAGTCTTGTTATAGCGTTTGATAAAGCCAAAGCGGTTTGCACACCCTTGGAACCTCCCGTGACATCTTCACCGAGCAACAGCTTCGAAAACTTCTCCTTCATGTCTTCAACATCAGAGTAGCAGAGTGCATAACCAGGTTTCTGATCCTCTCTATAGAAATGTTTGGAACTTCTTATCTCCAAGTGATCCCAATCATCAGAGGTGTGTTTCATCTGTAACCATTTGGAAGAAAACGACTCAGACTCATCTTTGCTTGATGAACAGCTTGAAAATGCTTCATCATCTAATGACTCAGTGAGGCATTCGTCTCCTCGGCTTGTTCCACTTTCTTCTTCTAAAGACTGATTGTTGATGATGATGCAAGCTTGTAAGCCGTCATACGTCATCATTCCTGAAAAATAATAATATTTGTCACTTGAACAGATTTTACAAGCTTAGCATGCTTCCTGAATCAAAATCTGTGTTGTTCTTTCAAAAATAATAAAACATATCAAGAATTAACGATCAGGACTAACCCACACCTCTTATGATTGCAGATATATGAACAAATATCAGAAAAAGTATATATACAAGCTTCTTCTCTAGTATATATAAATCAGATAAGTGGACCACAGATAATATGATTAAAGAATAATGTGGCATGAGAGAGAGGAACACATTTAGGCTGTGACTATGAAGAAACTGCACACCTCGCACAAAGCCTCTCTTCTTGTCTCATTTACCAAGTGGGGAATCATGAAAAAGACATAACAAAAAGGATTTTTATGCAGGTTAAGGAAGCTACCATACAAATAATGACAGAAAAGAACAAAACTCGCTGTGTTTACGTTACACGAATCTTTGAATTTTCGATAAATAAAGCCAAGGGTGTTGGCTGAAAAATGTTTCTTTTCTAAAAATTCACAAAAAGATATGTTTAAAAAGAAAATGAGATAGCCCCTCCATGTGCTGGCACTTTGAATTGGACCCACCATTAAAAAACCTAGATAACATTTTTTACAACCTTTCACAAACATATGGTGGTATTGTTAATTGATCAAGTACCAACAATCTGTTCTAGGTAAGTATACATATAACTCACAATATAACTCTGCTTCACCCCAAAACAAGTAAAGATAAGAAACATAGTAATGCCATTTATTCAAAAATTTCGGTGTGAAAACCATTTTCTTCAGGCTTTGCAAAACAAAGAAAAATCGGTAAAAAAAAAACTTTTACAATGGGGATGATGAGATGTAAACACAAGAACTCCAATGCGTAATTTTCTTAAGCTAATCAACTTTATTAAGAACTAATATTATAAGAATCAAAGGAGTAAATTTGTGATGCTGTTTTCCACAAAAAAGGGAGCTGCTTTAGACTGAGTTAATTAAAAGGGCAGCACCTGAAATTAGTTTACTAATTTGTGAACCATTTAGAAAGTTAAAACAGATCTTACCGTGGACTTGACTTTAAAATATTGGAAAATTTAAACCAAAGCATAAAGATACGACTGAGAAAGCATGAGGCGGAGCAAATTCTAAGAGTAGCTGAGTTTACCTGAAGAGGACGATACTCAAGTGAAAATCTGAAGCTTCAGATACATTTACTACACAAATTTTCTACGAGATTAAAACTTTTTTTTTTATTATTTTTTTGTCACGATTTTAAATAATGAGACACATTATTATTATCGCAGCGAGCGAGGATCTTTTTTTTTTATTTATTTTACAAAAAAAAAGAGACAAATTAAAAATTATTGATATGAGCCGTTAGATAAGAAGCTGACTGGTGATTGCTTAATTTTGAGGGTCAGGATAACAGGCGGAGGGTTGATTTGACAAAACGAAAATTAAAAGTGACACACATCTACAAATTTTCAAAACGTATATGATTATCGGCTGCCGCCAATGGCGCGCCGCTGGTGAGAAGAATAATAATACCACTCTTGAAAATTCGTGAACACGTCCCATACAAAACTTTATTTTACACTTCCCATAATAATAATAGCTTTTATTTTACACGTCCCATACAAAAATTTATGAAAAAGATTTCCAAACTCAAAATTGATAAAAATGGGCTTTCATAACTATCATTTATTGAATTACCCATAATGATAGGCCCATGGTATATACTCTCTGTCTGTTTTTTTTTTCGTTTTTATCCTTACTTCAAAAAAAAAAAAAAAAAAAACCAACAAAATTTAGACCACCTACTTTTATCTTAACGTTTGATTTTTGTTTTCTTAAGGTTTGTTCTAACAAAAGCTTTGATAACGCCACTTTTCACTTGAATCCTTAGCACTTAGCAGTTAACAGTACTATGTTATATAGTCAAACTACTCGATACATACAATAATTACTTGCAGATAGTAGTAATCAGAACTCAGAAGGCATAAAGGGTATAATCAGGCTTTATTTGGTTAGCTACCTTACCAGTTAACATATCCTTACCATTACGAGTTCTTGAATAATTCTAAGGAGACAAAGTTTCTCGTGTTTATTAACACACGAAACTTTCATCTTTTAAATTCATTTCATCTTTTTCGCAAATGTGTTAGAAGAATTCTGATAAGATCGATCTACCTAATTTGCAGTCCGCTTTTATAAGATTCGGCATAAATATAAGCAGTATTTTTTTTATATGAATTAAAAAGTACATGAAATCGAATAAATATGATTGATATTTGCAACTTAAGTTCATACTACCTTTTATGTGGGGAATCCTCGAATAGATCATTTCAGGTAAGGGTTTCCTTAACCGAAAAAGAATTTAATTTTAGTGACTAGTTTAGATTCCTTCTAACTCTGACTGGTTAGAATTCAAAGTTCGCATGATGTTGTCTTCTTTTTTATATAACCAACATGCCTTTCAATTTATATTTATTTCTTCCCTTTGCCTTTATAGACTTCCAAATGTTCAACTGATTGGGTTGGTACACTAGAAGAAAAAGACTAAAAGTACTATAGTATTGGTTTCTTTTTCTTTTATTCTGTTAAAATGTTAACATTTGTAGTAATTTCAAGTACAAAATAAATCTTATTCTTATAAAAATTGTTACTCTATAAAATAACAAAAGAATAGATCGAAAAAATTATAGCCTTATTCCACTTCTTTCATTTGCTCTCACTTATCATCAGTTGCACCAGTGAAATATAAAAGCCTTTCTATAGTAAGATTACAATTATTCTGATTAAAATTATACATTAAGCCCTTGGTTCATATATAAATTAATATCATTTCTATGGAGCCTGTGTACAACTCTATATACGCGTCTTGATGGAGAAGACGCGATGAACAAATGTCAAATCCAATACAACACATGGATTCTAATTGATCATTTAAAATCGAATATTACATAACAGTAGGTTGTGTATTCTATAGCAAATACTTTATTGATGGAGAAGACGCGAGATGTAATTAATAACAAAGCTTAATCGGTAGGTTTAACGGAGAAATAATGTATTCAATTGATTAAAGAAAGATAAACAAAATAATAGGTACACAAGAACCTAAAATGATAAAACATATATATATATATATATATCATATAGGACTGTCTTATCAAGAACAATGCCTGCGTTTCTTTGGATGAATGGCTAAGAAAAGATGCGATCGAGCATCGAGGAGCAAAGAACTTTCCATTTTCGGTAAATATTCCACGCTCTCTCTTTTATATTTCAAGCCAAAAATTAAATCAAACAAAATTGTCAGTGTGTGTGTGTGTTTGTGGCTATGGCATCAGCATAATTAAATTTGTTCTAAGTATATACATAGAAAAATTAGTCTACTACGAATATTCTAAACAAGTTTTACTCTTCATTTAAAAAAAAAAGAAGATACGCGTCTTCTTTTTGTGATTGTCCTAAATTTGATGTATAGCGTAATTACTTTCAAGTGCAGTCGAAGGAATAAAAAATGTGTAGGGCCTTAATTATACACTCTTACTTTATGAACTAGCAGCTATATAGTTTCCATGTTCTAACACAAGTCATGAGCATCGAGTCATACGGTTTTGTGGGCTCCTCTACCCTCGGATCCTTCTTAAATTGCACACTTCTCTCTTATTTCTGTGAGTCGAAAGCAACCCCTTAAACATATATCCCCCTAAGGTTTAACTTTTATCACAAAAAGGGTTAAGGTTTAATATCCATATAACCAAAACTCAAAGTTGTCAGTGATGGTGAATTATAGTTGTTCAATCAAGGTTTTGTCTCGCTTTCTTATAATTCTTATGGTGGTACAACTACACGTCGAGTCTATAACAGCAGCCCGACATGCGCCGGTAGTTTCTTGGTCACCACCTGAGCCGCCTAAGGATGATTTTGTGTGGTACCACAAGATCAACCGCTACAAGAACATAGAACAAGATGCGTTCCGACCAACCCACCAAGGTCCTAGTCAAGGTATCGGACACAAGAACCCTCCAGGTGCTCCTTAAGATATCATTTAGTAAAGAGGAATTTACCGCTTTATCATGCAGAGTTCGTCTGTTATTCGATGTCTTGTGTGCTGTGTTTCTGTTGGTTGAAAGAAGAGAAGAGGAAGAAGAGAAGAAGTTACATAACAGTTTCTTGTGGAGAGGACATGAACGTGAAGATTGCTTGTAGTGTTTTTGTTACTGCTTCTGTTTTTGTGTTTTTTTTTTTTTTTTTTGTTCTGCGTTGAGACTTGAGATGTTCATTCTTTCTTATTAGACGTAGATTTTTCTCGCGCGGTTTAAAATAAAGTTAGTGATTGATGGCATCCATTTTTCTTCACAAGATACAGTTATCAGAGTTAGGAAATGAGAAGAGCTTCAAGGTAGTTATCAAACATTTGATTATTAACTGTATTAAAATTTTCATTTTATAGATAAATATATATTTTTCTGGACATCCATATAGACTACATTTAAAAGAGAATGAATATGAAAAATATGAATATTTTCGATTATATATACAATAAATAGTTTTGCTAGCTACATATGATAATGTATTTGTTGTACTTGTACGTATATATTCGTTTAATTTAGAACTACCAATTTTATTCCCCTAGTTATTAATACTTACATTTAAAGATGTTATCACGAAGAAATTAATTCAATGAGGTTGTCTTTGGATTATCAGAAAATATTGGAACATACAACGGTTACGTACGTTTTCAGTAAAAAAAAATTTTAGCTATTGGATTTTTTTTTAAAATAGTGTATAAATTATAATATAGTTCAAGCATAATTATCATAATCCTAAGTTGCTCTATGTAATTAAGTGAGTTTAAAGTTATTCGATCGAATTTTACGTTAAACAGAGGTTGTCTTGGAAAAAAGTTCTTACAAGAACATGTTTTTATTAGAAAAGGTAATATTCTCGACAAAATTGAGCTGTATCTATCTATATATGTAGTATTGGTGTATATGTTTAGTACCTACTTGTATAAACATTAATATCATTGGCATACAACATATATATGAAAATATTAAATGATTCATGCGAATGCACCATCAAATCAGAAGAAGAAGAAAAAGAACACTAGTGTGCTCAATTAAATATAAAAAGGGATATAAAAACAACAATTCTTGTGTACCTTGATATTTATAATGGGAACTTCTTAGTACCCTTTGATACCTTTGTAAAATTACAAATCCAACTATACAAGAAAACAGAAAATATAACTTGGAGTTGGAAAAAAGAATGAACAGATATTATAGATTAACGATCATGAGATGGACGTTATACCTAGCGCTCTTTATATTTAAAACAATTATATTTATACCTAAATGAAACTTGATTTTTTTTTTTTTTTGAACTCGACATAAATGGAACTTGTACTAGGTTATTTAACAAGTTGGTGCCAACTATATTGATTTATAAAATACTCAAATAGGACTATCAAAAATTAAGATTCCGACAAACTTTTAGTTTTAATATTCGAGTTGTAAAAAGATTGTTATGCTGGTTATTAATTATATGCAGACATGTGGGGGTGTGCGTTTTCGGCTTTCCAATGGAACTTATAACAATTGTAAATGTTAACTTATAATGATTAACGTCTGTCTTTAGTTAAAGAAACTGAATACTGCGGCATATAGACGAAAAGATGAGCAGAAAACCATTAATGGAGAAGCCGAAGATTTAAACACATTAATAACTAACTTTTAACCTTCTAATAAAACAAGGATTCAGCGTGTTGTGATTGTTTAATTAACTACCATACAAGAACACGTACATACATTACACGATATTGGAAAAAAGCACATCGGATTATTGATGATCATGTATGAATGAGTCAAGTTCGAAGTGATGGACATAAAAAAAAAGCCCCACATAACTGACAGAGGTAGAAAACATAAGTAAAAAATAAATAAAACTTGTAATTAAGGAATGTAAATTATCAGTCTAAACAAGATGCTGTTGGGCTAATGTAGCAACCCAATTTAACGAACTGGGCCGTAAATTAACTGCAGCGTATGATAGCCCAACGAAAATGGGCCGTACGCTAGCCTTCTTCTTTTTCGATTTAATTTTTAGTCGTAAATAAAGCGGTGACTAATCTTAGATATGAGACTAATCTTCCCACTTTTTGGATTATATAATCGTTAAGAGATGAGAGTTGAATTCTGTTTATATTTAGCTTTAAAACAAAATATAATCGTTAATATAATCCAAACAAACTCTGCAAAAAATGTTTAGCTTTTGAACAAACTATTTTAACACATAAGTTCCTTAAAAGAATTGAGAGTTGACATGTTCGGACATGATAACGAATCGTGGGATTGGGAAACGAAAAACAAAGTCAAAGCAACCAGAGCATTGCATTAACATCTCTCTGTCTTTTTATTTTGTCTCTTGTGTTATTTAATTTTTTACTTTCCCAAATTCATACAAAAAGAACAATTTACATATAACAAACCCTATACTTTCAAAACAATTTCTTGCTTTACCATTTTGCACAAAAATTTTAGAATTAGTCGAGGTTCATGATATCCAATTTTAAATTGGAAAAAAACAATATTGCTTTGAATTATTACACAAACCATTTTTATATGCTTTTAAAATGCCACCATTTTGCATTACTAGAAAAATAATATTTTTTTTTTTAATAATTATCAGTAATTATGGTAAGTAATCAATGAACAGACTATAATAGAAAATAATATAATAACTGAGACTACAAATTTAATAATTTTCCAAAGTACTCAATGAACAGAGTCTATAATAGAAAAATAATCTAATAATTTAGATTTGAGACTACAAATTTAATAAGTTTTCAAAGTAATACCCGATGATGAGAGAAGCTGAAGAGAAGACGCCGAAAACGAAGTTGACCAGACTACCTAACGATCAAATCGATCGAAGAAGAGGAAGAAGAAGACAAAACCCCAAGGAATAAAACTTCTGTAATGGAGATTTGAGGAAGAAGAAGAAGAAGAAGAGATTGAACATTGAGATTGAAAGGAAAACTATGGTGGAGGGTTGGCGAAATGGGTTTCGCGAGGCGACGAATTCGAAGCCTCTGTTCTTGACGATCTACGCGACGGTGATCATCGGCGTTCTCGTCTCCTCCTTCTATATCTTCTCCGCCATTTACTCTCCCACCAATGGCTCCACCTCCTGGCTCTCTTCTCCTCCTCTCTCCAGTAACCACTCTCTCTCTCTCTCTCTCTCTCCATTGTATTTTGGTGGCAAATGTTGGTTTATATCTTCTTCTTCGCATCGCATAAAAGCTGAGACTTTTGTTATGAGTTTGATTGATTGATGTCTAATCATTAGGTGAGATTTCTGGAGGTTATGTTCTCTGATCCTGTTTGGTTCTGACACCAATTCGAGTTCACCGTTGACCTTAATTCTCAATGTCCGTTTAAAACCAGTTCTTATTGTTTGGAACAATCGTTGATTTCTTCATCGCAGCATTTGTATCCGATCAAGTGACTAACGTGCTTGGATCTGCATTTAATTGCTCCAGATGTCATGAAAGTTTTGATTTTTTTTTGTTTTTTACCTTTTCCGTTACTCTATATTTTAGTTCAATCAATTGCGTAATCTTGTTTTGAACACATCACTTCGCCATTTAAATGAGTTTGCTTGAGTATATAGATCAATCTCACTAAGCATTAGAAGATTGATGTTTTCTTCTTTTCATTATATACGATCTATTCATAGCTGCTGGACGAATTCACCAACTTCCACAAGAAAATGCAACGTTTCAGTTATCAGCTACACCACCACCACCACCACATGCACTTCCACCACCAGCTCCGGAGGAAGCTCAAGGCGAACCATTGGGTAAAATTTGGGTGTCTCCTCCACGAGACAAGAAGATGCCACCGCTCGAGTCCTTTAAACTGACGAAAGAGTTGTTTGGGGAAAGAGTGAAGGACAATGTCATAATAGTCACCTTTGGGAACTATGCTTTCATGGATTTCATCTTGACTTGGGTTAAACACTTGACTGATTTGGATCTCTCCAATATTCTAGTTGGTGAGTTTCCACTTCTAATATCTAACGTCTTACTGTCCATTTCACTGTTTTTTTTTCAAAAAGTTAGTAACTTTATGTTATGGGGTGTTGTTTATAGGTGCGATGGATACAAAGTTATTAGAGGCTCTGTACTGGAAAGGCGTACCGGTTTTTGACATGGGAAGCCATATGAGTACAGTGGATGTCGGGTGGGGTACACCGACGTTTCACAAAATGGGAAGAGAAAAAGTTATTCTCATAGATTCGGTCTTGCCTTTTGGTTACGAGCTTCTAATGTGCGACACTGACATGGTGTGGCTTAAGGTGCTAGTTCTAAACACAACCAACACTGTTATGTTCTTCCTTGGTAGACTTTCTCTTCTGATGATTGTTTATGTGTCAGAACCCTATGCCTTATTTGGCTCGGTACCCTGATGCTGATGTTTTGACATCAACCGATCAAGTTGTGCCTACTGTCGTGGATGACAGTTTGGATATATGGCAACAAGGTAGAGATATTAGCTAAAAGACATGCATAATATAGCTGATCTGCTCACACTGCTACTGACTCTGCTCATTCTTTTTTTTTTCTTGGACTTTGAAAAGTTGGTGCTGCTTACAACATAGGAATCTTCCATTGGCGGCCGACAGAATCTGCCAAAAAGTTGGCAAGAGAGTGGAAAGATATTCTCTTAGCGGATGATAAAGTTTGGGATCAAAATGGGTTCAATGAGATCGTTAGGAGACAGCTTGGTCCATCTGTGGATGGAGATAGTGGACTTTTCTATGCTTATGATGGAAACCTCAAGGTTGGGCTTTTGCCGGCTAGCATATTTTGCAGTGGCCATACTTATTTTGTTCAGGTACCTTTCTTCTACATGCAGTTTCCATTTTTTAGTTTTTCTCTTGTGGACAATCTAATGGTTACTTTTCTTTTTTCTACGGTAGGCTATGTATCAACAGCTCAGGCTAGAACCATACGCCTTGCATACAACATTCCAGTATGCAGGCACCGAAGGAAAACGCCACAGGCTTCGAGAGGGGATGGTTTTCTATGACCCACCAGAGTATTACGATGCACCAGGTATTAAAAAAAAAAAATCATTTTTTGTGAACATTCTTCAACGTTTTGATTGTGAAAAGCCAAAACCAAATGTTGTAAACTCCAACACAACGCAGGAGGTTTCATTTCGTTCAAACCATCTATTCCAAAGAGCTTGTTACTAGACGGGAAGCATACCATTGCATCGCACTTTATCCTCATTAACCACCAAGTACGCATCTACTAAACATTAACATCGTCCCTGTGAACTATATAGGTTAACTTGACCACTTTCTAATTATACATCTACCTTTGGTCCACTTTACAGATGAAACAGATCAGATCAGCTCTAGCCATTGCGTCTCTTCTTAATCGTACACTGGTGAGTCTTGTCAGCAGCTTGTAATGCATATTATTTCATGGTGTTACTGATTGATTCTTACGTATATCTGGTTGGTCTCTACAATGTATTCAGGTGATGCCACCAATATGGTGCAGGTTAGATAGACTTTGGTTTGGGCATCCCGGTACTCTTGCGGGATCCATGACCAGGCAACCTTTCATCTGCCCTCTTGATCATGTCTTTGAGGTAATGTATAATAATGTTGAAGCAGCTCAATATACTTTCTCTGCAAGTGCCTCATAACACCCTGACGAATCTCAATTACAGATCAATATCATGGTGAAGGAGCTACCAGAGGATGAGTTTGGCCCTGGGATTGGTATCAGAGAATATTCTTTTCTAGATAACCCATCATTACCAAAACACGTAATACAAACCGCTCAGATATTCTTGTTTTTTTCAAATTAATCATTTTATATGAGTGTCACAGGAATGAAACTATGAATCATTTCAGGTGAAAGAGTCATGGCTTGATGTTCAGCTTTGTCAAGAAGGAAAAGAAGGATGCGAGGCATCGAATAACACAAGCCCCTCTCGGGTTCTTAAGTTCCCAAAGCGGAGCAATGAAGATACGGTAAACTAAAATTACTTCATTTGTCTGTCACTCTTTATTTATATATATAGCCTCATTCATCACTTTGTTTCGTCGCTCACCTCAGTTCAAGGCGATATTCTCTTCCTTCCACGATGTCAAAGTGATAAAGTTTTCCTCAGTTGAAGATGCTTTCATCGGATTCTCTGACATGGCAAGTAGATTTTTCTAAACCGTGAAACATTCAGACATGTGGAATGTGATCTGACCTAATCTGGTTTGTGCGCAGGGGCGAGAAGAGAGATTCAGAAGACGGGTAAAGAGATATGTGGGAATATGGTGTTGTGAGGAGAACAAGACTCCGGGACACATTTACTACGATATGTACTGGGACGAGAAACCCGGTTGGAAACCGGTTCCTCCACAGACACCAGAAGAAGATCATCCTCCTCTCTGATGCCCTGACCCGCAAGAGAAGAAGAGGGTTTACACACGATTTCTTGGGTCACAAGGAGACTTAAGAGAGTTTTTTTTTGTTTTTCTTTCTTTCTTACGGTCTTTTACACTGTAAAACTGTCTCTTCCTCATGTTTCTCTTACCACGTTAACGATAGGATCGGACCAAAAGAAAAAACGTTTTACTTTCATGTAATTTCTAAAATTTAACATTCAAAGTATTTATATAAAGTGTCACTGAGATGGGAAAAATATATTTTTCAAATTGGATTATAGAAACCATTAGCTAAATCAACCTTTGCTCATCATCGATACATAAATTTCTGAGACAGATGGGACCTGGTCGAAAGTGTCTATATATGGACCGGTAAGATCACCCAAAAAGAAAGATAGAGAAGAAGACAAAAAAGGGTTCTTGGATGATTAAGCAAAAGATACAGAATGATAAGCTAAAGCGTCTTAAGGACTACGCAATGAGAGAATCAAGCAGACTTGGGAAAATGCTGAGACAGAAGTTTTGCAATCTCCAGGAACCCAACCGTGTCTTGTCCATTGAATATTGTCTTCAGTTTCGCATCGCATAGTATCTGCTTCTTGTTTTCCGGATTCTACATTAAACCCAACACAGACATGTTGAAAACTTAGAATCTCTCATCATAGATGTGAGCAAAGAATAAAGAATCCAACCCACAAAAAAACAAGTGATTTTCTTCAATAAACAAGAGCAGGAAAATAAAGTGAAATCATTGAAATGTTCACTCAGGAGCAAATCCATGTCACATTGTTCTAGCTGCAATCACATAAATTAAGACTCAAAGAGCCCAAAAATGCCAAGGTTTGTAAGCAGATACCAAGATTTAACCAAGTAACAAAAACCCATAAATTCGAGAAGAAAAAATCCAAACCTGGAGGTTGTGAAGCTTGATGTGTTCCCACACTTTCTTCACGGCGGTTGTACGAGCGACTTCGTTAGCGCCAATGAACTTAGCGAGCGGCTGCGAAACGGGGAGCACCTTGAGTATGCCTTTGCCTTCTCTACCGCTGCTAGCGCCGGGGGAAGAAGCAGCCTTCGTCATCAATACCCTGCAAGCTCCGAAAACCCTTGAAACTGTCGCCATTTTCTTCTTCACACCGTTTTGAATTTGGAAGGAGAGAGCTCTGTCCTAAAACCCTAGATCAGTCGGAATTTACACAAAGACTTTGAAAGCCGAGACATTTCAGACTCTCTGCCACCTTGTGATTGATTAATGGAGCTGTGGTTTGCTCTGAGTTTGGGTTTTCCAAACCAAATATTTTGGGTCTTATTGGGCCTTATTAGGCCGATTTACTCGAAGTATCTCACTAAACCTGATTAGGCTGTGGATTACTGAATAGCCTCGTTTAGGTTAGTGTATCTTTGTGCAAGTTCGATTGCTATCTAATTTCTAAAACAAGAGGAAACAGTGAGAGAGAAAAAATGAATGAAGAGACGAACCAAAAATAAAAACAACGATGTGATGCGACGGTTCCATGGGCCTGTCAAATGTACATAGTGATTCGTGACCGTAACCCGACCCGGTTTGGGCTAACATCAGCCAATTAGAGAAAGCCACGTAAGCTACTTCCTGCACACGTAACAGATCCTCTCTCTTTCTCCGTCACCGGCAAACACCATGGGCCCTCGTTGCCGTCTCTTATCGAGACCAAATTTCATCGTTACTCAAAAGGTATCTCCGTTAACTCACAAAGCGTAAGTATCTAACGCCGTTAAAATATCTATTTTTCCTCCACTTATATAAATCACCCACGGTCCTCTGAAACGTCTTTCTCTCTATCTCTCCGTCATCTTTCTTAACTCAAAAACTGCCGGAGCTCCGTATACCAGCTACCGGGTTACCCGGATTCTTGTCCTGGAGGATTTGAATACTTTGGGCTATTATCGTAGTTAACGTTTCCTCTCCAAGAAGAGGACATTGCTTCTGCTATCGGAGGATTTTGATCCGAACGAGGAAAAATTATCTTCAGATTCTGATTTGATTTCAATCCAAGAAGGCGTGTGTGATCAGGTACGACTCTGAACTCCTCCATTCAAAAACTGTTCTTCGAAAAAACCAAACAAAGAAAATTTCTTTCGAACCAGTTTCAAACTTGTATTTTCCTGGAAATCACTCAGACAATATCTTGCAACTGTTGCATTATCCTTCGGTTTTGTTTCGTCTTCTCCACTTGCTGATCAATGGCGGATAAATTACCTTAAAACCTATTCAATTTACTGACAAGAACACTCTTGTCTTGCCGAATGGGAGAATCAAAATTTGTCATTCAAAAGTTTCTTCCTTGGTATTGACTACTGTTCATACTTTACTTTTGCTTTTACTCGACAAGGGAAAATAAAAAAGAGAAAATTGTTGTTTTTCTCCAATAAAAAATAAAAGACATTCATAATCAATTAGGTCGTCCTTTTGCTCCCGCATTTACTACTGCCTGTAACGCTGCTAAAATCTCTGTAGCCTTTGATGGGCTATATATAGGAACAGAGCTCAATATCAATTTAAAGTAAACTCCTCAAGTTTCTTATAACCTACAGACATCGATACAAAAGGTAACTATCCCCCCATACTTCATTTTAATTCCATTCAATGTATACCTCAGATTTTCTTCTTTCTTTTTTAATATTTGCGGAGTGACGATAAACTAAAGAAGAGGATTCTTCTTCGGTTATTACAACAAATGTTTTTTTTTTCTGTTTAAGTACTTCTGGTTGTAAGAAATTCGAGTGTCTCTTTCGTATACTTCATTTTTATTTTATTTTAAAGACAGTTTTATTTGGACACGAGGGATCAGGAGCAAACATACCATTTGTTTTTTTTTCCAACTTGTATTTTTCTTCTCTGCTCTCTAAAAATATATTTAAATGTCAGAAACTTCGGCTCGCAGGAGAAAAAAATATTCTTTCAAACTTTTGATTTGTGTGTGACGAGGGATGGGGTCTTTTACTTGGTATTGCTGCACAACAAAGCATTTACACACTCAGTTTCACCTCTCTGTTTAGACCACTTTCTTAAAAAAAAAATTCCAAAAACGAAAATATTTTATATATTTTTAGTACCATGCCCTTGCTTGTCTCATGTCTCTATCATGTTCATATTTCAAATATTTTTATTAGTATAAAGACTATAATTCGATCGATTCAGGTGCTTGGACAAATCCTTTGCAAATATTTTCTTTTTTCTGCTTTGGGGTCCTATACTCTGATCCCCAGGTTAATCTACAAACACTTTTGTCTTTATCAAGATTATTGCCTCTAATAATGAACCTTCATAGCTTGTTTTTTAATAACCTGTACCTCTCTCCACTTTATTTGAGTTCCTCAATTTCTTGAAATATTTTCAGGGATAGGATTTCTTAATCTTTATGGGTTTAAAATAAAAATTAAACTTTCCAGGTCATCATCAGAATAGAAATCTTGAAATAATTTGTTGTTTTATGTTGTAGTAATGTTTCCGACCATTCGATTCAAATGGTTATACTACATCTATGTCTACTAGGATAAATTTCATCCTCCGTAGGAAAAAAAATTACTTCTTTTAGTATTGGGTTTTCACCAACTTTCCATTAGCTGAGTAGCTTATCTAACGAATTAATTAAACCCTATTCTTACTGATATCAGATTATAGGTTACTATATAATCTGCTTAGTATATGATTAGTGGTTTAGTTGGGATGATTTATACACTATGTTTATGGTTTTATAGGGCTTAAAAGGCAGAGAAGAACATAGAAGAAGAGTGCAAAGATGTTTACTTGCATAAACTGTACAAAAATGGCAGATGGAGGTGAGGAAGATGAAGATGGAGCGCGTGGGAGCACCACTCCCAACACTAAAGAAGCCGTTAAAAGCCTAACTACACAGGTCTCTCTCTCTCTATCTAAAGATCTTTTCTTTCCTCTGTTGAAACCTTACTCTTTTTCACTTTATTATGCCTGCTTTTTTTTCCTAATTGCCTTGGTAAAACAAACAAACCCAAAGACCATAAATTGATAAAATGGTCATTAAACTGTTTCAACAGTGTAAAAAAAGAAGGTTGAAAATCCTCTTTTTAAAAAAAAAAATATATTAAAGAGGCTATCAAGTACAAAATTATAGAGTTGAGTTCACAAGATAGTTAGAGGTTACTGTTGTTAAGGCTGCAGGTTACAGACAAAATACGGATCTTTAGACAAGATCTTATGGTGATGCAACATCACTTCTCTGAAATCTCTTACAAATCTCTCTTTAATAGGTTCTGTCAGTGTTTTTTTTTCTTTTCTTCTCCCTTGTACGTGACTAGACATAAAATGGAAAAACAATTAGTACAATAATTAAAAACCATTCTTGCAAAATCTTAAAATTATGTGTCCACATTGAAATTTTTGGATTCCGGCTGATGATATGTGTGGATATTGTTTTATTAAGATTTATTGACAAAAAAGACTAATGGAGTCACGCCTTGTTGAGCATGATTTTTGCTTGTTATTGAAGATTGATCTATATATACTTTCCTAGAATAAGCTCTAGTGGATTATTATCTAGACGGGAAAAATATAAAAAGGAAGATTTTTGTGGTGGGGCAACTATATAGTATAAATCAAAAGAACCAAAGAAAAGAAAAAACACAGAGTGTTATGATTATGTTCTATTCACGGAGAAGACAAGATGAACTATATTATATGTTTCAAATTATTATCAGATCTCCTAGCTTTATTGATGCTCTTTTATGAATGATGATAGTAGACTCCTTTATCCTTAGTTGCGATAAAGAAAAAAAATCTTGACAACATTTTTTTCATGGCACAAGACTTTTATTGGTTGCTTACTGTTTGTTACCTGTTGTATCCAACGTTATGCTGTTGACTGTCCAATGATCACGTGGTACTATGTTTTGTTTCAAGATTTTACTTTAATTAACCTATTGGGTACGGATGCTATGCAGATCAAAGACATGGCGTCGAAATTCTCCGGTTCTCATAAACAATCAAAGCCAACCTCAGGCGCCTCAAGCAGCACGTTGAGGAAAGAGCAGAGGAAGTATCCAGATTTCGACACTGCATCTGATAGTGTTCCTTACCCTTATATGGGTGGTGGGAGCACGAGTTCCACTCCTGCTTGGGACTTCACAAGCTCGTCTCACCATCAAGGTGGACGGCAAGACTCAAGGTTCACATCAATGTATGGTGGTGGTGAACGCGAATCCGTCTCTGCTCAGTCGTGTGATGTGGTGCTAGAGGATGACGAACCAAAGGAGTGGATGGCTCAAGTAGAGCCCGGTGTTCACATTACATTTGTTTCACTTCCCAATGGAGGAAACGACCTTAAACGGATACGTTTCAGGTATTTGAGTTCCCCTCTCTTCACTCAAAACGACCTATACGCATAAACAGTTTTTTGAGGTTTGCAAAGCAGAACTTGTGTCTAGAATGTCTCTCGAATAAGTAAAATCTTAGTTTCAAGCTTTTGTCTGTATCTAGTATCTACTATCAGAGGTTGGTCACTAGTGATTGAGACATTTCACTTCATGACGTACAAAGATTTGACATGAGAATAAAACTAACATTTAACTTATGTCTTTGTCGAAGCCGGGAGGTATTCGACAAGTGGCAGGCTCAGAGGTGGTGGGGTGAGAACTACGACAGAATAGTTGAGCTTTACAATGTTCAGAGATTTAATCGGCAAGCCCTTCAAACCCCTGGTAGATCCGAGGACCAGGTATAAAAACATCAGAATCTTGCTCTGAGAATGTTCTCTTGAGCTGCACAAAAGAAAAGGTTTATATTGTAATCCAAACTTTGGATTCTTGTTTGTTTCTTCCTCAGTCGCAGAGAGATTCAACTTACACAAGAATCGAGTCAGCAAGAGAAAGCAGAGACTGGACGCCAAGAAACAACTTCAGACCTACAGGAGGCAGCGTCCCACATCACTTCTATGGACCTCCGATGGATGCGGCACGAATCACCACCTCATCTAGAGACGACCCGCCTTCACTCAGTAACGCTAGTGAAATGCAAGGAGAATGGGTCGAAGAAGACGAGCCTGGCGTTTACATTACCATCAGACAGTTACCAGATGGAACCAGAGAATTACGCCGTGTCAGATTCAGGTAAACCTCTTCACTCAAGCTGATTACCAAGTTTCCTCTGTTCAAGCTGAAATGTTTTTAGCATTTCTAACCAAATCGAATCGGGTGTTTGCAGCCGGGAGCGGTTTGGAGAAGTGCATGCCAAGACATGGTGGGAGCAGAACAGAGACAGAATACAAACACAATACCTCTAAGGGAGGAAAAAAGAGAGGCCAATATTTAATCTTCTTTAACACAACACAGGTATACACAAAATTCATCATCTTGGAGATTTGGAAGAAAATTTAATCAAGAAGAAAAAATCAGAATGTGATAAGAACACAAAATGGAAAATTGGAAGAGATTTTGATTTATAGAGATTTGTAGCTAGTTAGTTCTCGGCGCTTTGACAACTATGTAATTTTCCTGACGATGAGATGAGCTTTATTTATTGATTCATTTTTTTTATCCATGTGTTTTGTTTAATTTTAACTTTTTAATGCTTCAAGTGGATGGATTACTACTGTCATTTTGTTTGTTACTAGCATAGTGTCATGCGAATTTAGCTCTCAAATATTCTACTAAAATCCTCAAATGGAGAGGAAAAAGAGAAGAATATCATGCCATTGATCCTAACGAGCCCTAGGGTTTATGAATCTGTGGTGTGTGACGCAAGGAACTGTGGGGACTGAATCATCAGCCTGTTTGATCAAACGAAACCATGTATCTTTTATGATTCACAGAATATGATAATAGATTGATGATTTTAGTTTAACAATCAAATATATAACATTCACTAAAATTTGGTTTTGTTCTTAATATCAGAAAAGGTAAAATAGAGCATAGACCAGCCTCGGTTCTTAGATACTACCGGATGCTTTGCATTCGTCTAGAAGATTCAGCAAGTGGTGCTCAGGTGCACTGAGCGAAGGCAAGAACAAACGCTTGGGATCGCTTTGGTTAGTCTGCGATGGTATTGTCACAGAGCCATCAGATTCTTCACCCATTCCATCTTGAACGATAGCCAAATCGCCTCGTCTCCTCATCGAAGACGATACTCTCTCTTTCCAAATTCTCCCGTCCTATGCTTATCACGATCACACACACACACAAAAAAAAGACTTAAGAGCTTTATACAAACACTCCTATTTTTTCATTTTCACTACCAAGAAAACATTTTTTTTGTTTTCTTGAAATTTCAAGAAATGCAAAAGATCATTACATTGAGAATGGAGGGCTCGGGGAGTGGACATTGGATCGGTTGGTCGTTGTCCAAGGGCTCGAGCGGGTGTTCCACCGGTTTAAACTCTGTTGATACTTCGATCCCATGAGTTGGACCGGTTGTGGTGTTGGTTGAAGCAACAAGATCAGGACGTGGAGGCAATGCTCCTCTCTCATCCTGATCGTAAGACAAGATTCATATCAAGTGTAGCTTGAAACCAACTTATGGACTTGAAAGAAGCAGACACTTTTTACATAGAAATAAACAGATTCAAGTATAGTTAAATTCTGTTAAAAGGGGAATATATTACAAAAGCAGATTATGAACAGAGCGAATATTCAACTTGAGATATTGCAAAACAAGCAACTCTAAGCCTGTGATCATGAACTCTTTATTTTTCCTAATTAATTTTGAGCCTAAATTGTTAGCATCTCAAGAAGGTTCATATTAAGTTGGATCACTATGAACATAAAGCTCAAGCACAAATCAAACAGAACAAAATCTTCTGTTCCATATAACTTGACCTTTAATTAAGATCAAACTATTTAAGACCATAGATGCAAAAAAAAAACCTCTACTGGAGTAAGACAAGCAAAATGAAAAGAGAGCTTACGATGGCACTCTGTGTTCGTCTATGGCCGTTTCTACCAACATAAAATCTGGAGAAAATTCCAACCATGCTGTTCGCAATTTCTTGGAAAAGACAGAATCTTCCTTGATCTTGAGTCTTCAGACTTGTTTTTTTCCCAAAAAAAAAAAAATGACAAAGACTATTTGTCCGGAAGAGAGTATAGATTCTCCAAAGCAACAAAGCAGAATAACAAAAGTAGCCACAAAGATGGCTTCTTTAAATCTCCAGAATATTGCAGTGGGCTGATTGATAAATGCTTTCTTAGCTTTAAGCTTTAAGCTTTGCTTGGCTTCAACAGATTCTCCGTTATGGCTTCTTTCCGCCTCCGCTAGTTTTCCTTGCTCCTACAACTTTTCTTGGCTTTGAAAATTAATATTATTGATGATTCATTGCCTTATTAAAATTAAACAATTATTTTCTTAATTAGTGTTACAAAAATCCAACGTTTTCTGGCTCAGCTATATTGTACTTTAACAGAATAAAGAATTCATAAAACTCACGTCGAGAAAGCTACAAATCAACTACTATAGTTGTGTTTTTAAATTTGACTATAATATTAACAAGGAGGATAGTTGTTGAGTTATGTTAATTATATAAACCAGCTCAAGACTAGGAAAATACAGGAGTATATTATAAAATACGTATTGCATTCTTTTTCAGGACCGGATTTTGGACCTACGGATGTAACTAATTTTGTCGTTTTTCCTTTTTCTGATAGTTATTATAATATTTTTTCATTAAGAAAAAAATACAGTATAATTGACGAATATTCTAATTGTTACGTGGCCAAATCTCAGTTTTTTGTTTATTTCTTTAGTTACGATAATTGAGAAAAACTTTTAAAATTATGGGTTTAGAATTTAATTTGTTTGAAGTTATAAGAGTTTAGGATTTTAAGTTTGCAGTCTAGTTTTTAAATTTAGGATCGGTTTGGATAATGTAAAAATATATATAATTTTCCCTTTTAGTTTGAATTATCTACCCTATAAGGTCCACAATCTGGTGATTTTCTTCAGCCGCAACATACCTTATGTCCAAGATCGTCTAGTCTCTCACCATGTATAATCGCATGATTAAAAAAAAAGGAATTCGCCAAGGCTGAGACATTCGTCTTCTGGGACATGTATGGCGACTGCAAGATCCCTAGTGGTCTCGATCCAAATACCGTTTATGAAAACATCAAATCAGCTCTCACGGACGAAGGTTATATTGGTAACGTGACAGTCACGGCTTATGGTCACAAGGAGGAAATCGGGGATAGCCCTCTCCCCGCTGGGTTCACCTTGGTACCTGAAGTAACTGGAAGTCGCATCCAGGACGCCATATGTATGTTGGCGATGGAACGTCGTGAGCTACGTTCAAATTTGATGCTAATCTCAGACGTAATCCCACTGTACATGCCAGCTCTGATGTCTCAGGGAGAAGAAGAAAGTGTCAATGTTGTTGTAGCACAGGATGATGAACAACCACCCCGAGACCTAACCCTTACCGCGAGTGAGGTGTGGCTGTGGAGAAGCCTATCCACCACTGGAGGAAAGCCAGTCTACACTGTTGACGATAGGAGGGCAATAGTAGAGTCTGGATGCGACCGCCCAGCTCTGGATGAGTGGTCCCTAAACCCAAACCCAAGCGACTCTGATGAGTGGTCCCTAAACCAATAAGCGCTCTCTCTGTGCGTAGAGCTGCGAAACTAACTTTTCAATTGTTTTACTCTTTGAAGTTATGCGGATTTTAAAGAAATGTTCAAAAAAAAAAAGTTATGCGGATTTTATATATGCATTGAATGTTAGAAAAAAGGGGGGTCCATAATCTCGTGGCTTTCGTAATTACCGTCTCACGCACGCAGCCGTCGTAAAAGAAGATGAACCTGGGAAAATCAGTAGGGAAGCAAAACGTTTTTCCTTTTTCTGATCGTAATTTTTTTCTTTCCCGGTCATAAAACAATCTTTAATATGCTTGAAAAGAAATTACATCACCTACATCTAGTAAAGCGTGAAACCATTCCCAACATGTTTTAGCATAACCCTAATATTATTTTAGTTTTTAATTAAAACGTATATATTGTAGCCTTCCTGTGGTATTACACGAGCTTTAATTCAGAGAAACGATTAATCATGGATTTAAATAGTATATTCCAGCGCTTGCTTTGCTGTCCACAGTAAATATAATATTTCATTAAGTATAGTGTATTTGAAGAATATTCTAGTCGTTACGTGATCAAATCTCAAAAATTTTAATCCACATGTGTTAGCAAATAACATATCATAATTATATTATCATTACACGTCATCATTTTTATATTACATTTAATTTAGTTAGATAAATGATTTTAACCAATCAAATTAAAACAACTCATAAGTTTTTATTAAATTATTTTATATAAAAAAAGTTTTTATTAAATTACATTCTCAATTAATATGTAAAAGATTCTCTAAATTTTTTACTACAAAAGTCAAAATAATGTTTGAAAACTTTTATTAAGTTAATACTCTCTCTGTTTCATAATAAGTGTCATTTTGAGAAAATATATCTGCATTATAACTGGATATATCTGGATGTGTTTTGAGGTTAATATATCCAGTTATAATCTAGATACATTTTTTCAAAATGACACTTATTATGAAACAGAGGAGTATGTTGTTTGTTTATTCTGTTGAAAGAAGTACGTCATTTATTTATTTTATTGAACGAAGATATATTTTTCAGGAGATCAAAATATATTCTGATAAATATTTTATCTGCAATTCTCATAAGAGTCGAAAATTGTAGTTTTTATATATTAAAAAATATATTACTATAATATATATGGTATGTGCATATGATCAAAATATAATTTATATACAATTTAATGTGAACATGTGTATGTATGTGATCAAAATATATAACATATGTTTTCGAACACGTTTATGTATAATTTTTTTTTCTTTCTTTGAACACATATATGCATGTGATCAAGATATAATAATTTTGAAGACGAGTTCAATTTATGTTGTTTTAAAAAATTATAATACATGTTTTTAATACGTCTATGCATGAGATTAAGATATAATGTTGTTTAAAACACGGTTTGTAATTTATAACAATTAAATATGACAATTATTTTTATTATTTTTGATTGAAATATGACAGTTATTTGAACTTAGAGAAATTAAAAATAAAAAATTTTCTTATCATGTCATAATCTACATGTATTAGCAAATAACATGTCACTAATTACATCATCATTTTCATATCACATTTAATTTGGTTAGATAAATAATTTTAACCGATAAAATTACAACAAATCATAAGTTTTCATTAAACTCCATTTTCAATTAATATATATAGGATTCTTGGCTAAAATTGATAATCATCTATCTAATCTAATTAAATGTAACATCTTCAGTAGAGGATTCCTTTCGAAAAGTAATAATCAGTTAGTTTTCCTTTTCTAATTTATTTTTAGTATAAATACAAACTATTATTTTAGTATGAGTTATCTACCCTAACCTCGTGGCTTTCGTAGTTACCGTCTCACGCAGCCGTAAAAAGATGGACCTAAGAGAATCAGTAGGGAAGCAAAACGAAATCGTTCTGCAGTTGGCTAAGCACGTGATCGCTACCACCGCCGGAAAACCTTCGAACCTCGTCTTTTCGCCGGCGTTAATCAACGTCATCCTCAGCTACATCGCCGCCAAATGTCCCGGGGACACCGGAGACAAGATTGTCTCTTTACTACGGGCGTCTTCTACCGATGAGCTTAACGCCGTCTCCTCCGAGGTCGTTACCAACGTCCTCGCCGACAGCACCGCGCACGGCGGCCCAATGATATCGGCAGCCAATGGCTTCTGGATCGACAAGTCTCTCTCTGTCGAACCTTCTTTCAAGGATCTCTTGAAGACTTCGTATAAGGCTGCTTTCAACCAAGTCGATTTTCGCACTAAGGTAACTTAATTCCTTTAAATCTTTCCCAAATATCTCTTTCAACTTCTACAATTTGTTCAGAACTTTGCCTAATCAAATCAACAATTTAGCCAAAAGCCCTCGTATATATAACATTATTTAATCCAAATAACACAATTTCGGCTATTTTTTAAGCAATTTGTTCGGAATTCTTTTTTTTTGTTAAATCGATAATTTAGCGAAAAACCGGGCATTACTAGGGATTAATTCTTGCATGCTTATTAGCTTTAATCCGGTTTATAAATCACATAACTTTATTTTATTTTTGGTCTATGATAAATCACATAACCATGAATTATTCTAGCATGCTTGATTAGATTTGTGATTAAACAAAAGATTTCACTGAGGTTTTGAATGAGATCAACTAATCACAGATTTTTGTTTGTTTGTTTGTTCACATGTTGGTTCTTGAAAGTCTGATGAAGTGGCTAAAGAGGTGAACTCATGGGTTGAAAAGGAGACGAAGGGACTCATCACTGATCTTCTTTCACCAGAATCTGTTACTCCTTTGACTGATTTCATATTTGCTAATGCCTTGTTCTTCAATGGAAGATGGGATGAGGAGTTTGATCCATCGCTAACGAAAGATTCCGACTTTCACCTTCTTGATGGAACCAAAGCACGTGTGCCCTTCATGACCGGTAAATCCTACCGATACAGTCTCGAAGCTTACGAAGGATTCAATGTCCTCACTCTACCGTACAGGCAAGGGAGCAATTATAGAGAAGACCGTCGTTGTTTCTCCATGCAAATCTATCTTCCTGATGAAAAAGACGGATTGCCCGAAATGCTGGACAGATTGGCTTCTTGTCCTGGGTTCTTGAATGGCGAAGGAGACATTTCTGGCGAACGGGCAGAAGTCGGAGAACTCAAGATTCCGAGGTTTAAATTCTCTTTTGATTTCGAAGCCTCGGAAGCTCTCAAGGGTTTGGGTTTGGATACGCCATTGGAGACGATCATCCACAAGTCTTGCATTGAGGTCGATGAAGTGGGATCGAAAGCTGCAGCTGCTGCTGCTGTAATATCAGTCGGCGCTTGTATGCCTCCGAAAGAGATGTATGACTTTGTGGCCGACCATCCGTTTCTCTTCCTCGTCAAAGAGTACGGAAGCGGACTGGTTCTGTTCCTTGGTCAAGTTCTTGATCCTTCTATGCATTGATTTGACTTGTGTCCAAAGTCTTGGGACTATTGACTTTTTGTGTGTGCCTCTTGACGAATGTTGAGGCCATTTGTCATAATTCATGTTGAGGCCCATTGTCATAATCCATGTTTTAGCATAAGTTAAAATGTCGTTTACAGTTTACAAACCTTACATACAACAATTTTAAAACAATCAACACCAGCGCGCTAGTATTATTAGTCTGCTGCTTCTGATATCAATACTTCGTTTTCATTGATTGCATCTACCCCAGTCCTTAGCTGTGACCTGATGGGGTTTTGTCACTGTTAGAAACAAGTCTTCTCTGTATAATACTTTAATGTCTGTTGCAAGTTCAACAAGTGAATTGATCATCATTCTCTTGTGATATACAGGGGTGGTTGATGTACTCTCCACCAGTTATTAGCTGGGGTATTAACCATGAACGGATCAATCTTTTGACGCCGAGTCAGTTCTTGTCAACTATGAAATTTGGTTGCTTATACCTAACCACACCCAGCTCAAAATGGGTTAAATTTTTTTTGGACCCTATACTATTTTAAAATATTTATTTATTTAAATTTTGTTTTGCAAAGTTTTAAATTTAAAACCCTAAATCATATTATTAATTGGCAAGCAAGTTGGACTGTAGTTAAAAGTTAAGATGGTTGATTACTATTTGTCCCATATATGAAAAGACTTTATTTACACTTAATAAAATTAACAAATTAATATAATCTAATTTAAAAAATTTCGTTTTATTTAAACCTAAATTTCTAAATTCGAGTTTATATTATAATACTATTCAGTTTACTAAAAAAATATAATTAACATAAATCACAAAAAATCAATTCTAATTATTTTCTTAAACTTATTTTAATTTAATTGTCTAATCTACTAATATTTTTGATTAACCTAATTGATTTATGCGGTCACAAGTAAAACTCTAAATCTTATAAAAATTGATTTATGCGGCCAAAAAACAATATACTATAAAATCTGATTTTTTCATCTATAAATAAACTAATATTATTATTTTTTTTTATAAATTAATCGAATCTTGCACCTTGTGCGGGGAAACATCTAGTTAGTATAGAATTTTGTTTTAAAACAAATAAGACCTTACGCTTTAGCACCGTCTGTACATGGCTTAAGCAGGTCTGCACCTAACCTAGTTTAACTTTGATTTTTTACTACAGATGTCTACTTTATTGACAATTTATATTTTCAAATCTTTTTTATATATTTTTAAAGCGGTGAGGTGGTTGATACACATAAATGTGCAGGCCAGCCATCTATCTTCTCTTAAGATAAGTAAAAATGATAAAAATTATTTTTGTTAAATTAAAAAAATAGGTCAATGGAAAAAAATGCTTAAAATATATATATTGTTAAGATTATATTGTGTAAGAGAAAAAGAAAGAATAATATAGATAATATTCAAAACATATTATAAAAATTTAGTTATTATTTAATATAACTTTTATATTTATAATTATATATCACTGTAAATGCTAGAAAAAATAAAGTATTTTTAAATAAATCAGTTTTAAAAGGTACAAACAAATATTGAAAAAATAGTACAAAATAATATGAAATGTTTGTGTGATTGTTGTTAAACACTAACACTAAATATATATACAAACATAACATTTATAAAATGTATAAGAAAATTTAAAAATACTTAAATAGTACAAATAATTATGTATATTGTATTAAAAAATCATACCTGCATATGTATGCGAGCCAACCACCTAATTTCAATGAAATATTAAATAATAGATAATAATCTGCGCCATGCACATGATAAAAAATCTACGAATAAATTTATTAAATATCATTTCAAAATTATTTAAAATAAAAATAATTTAATTATTTTGTGTATATATTATATTTGAGTAACAATAATATTTGCTTATAAAATTTTATAATTAATTTTAATAGTCTTTTGTATATGAATGTAATTATATGTACGTAGTCTAACCCGTGAAACTACGATAGTAAAAACATCAATATTTACAAAACTCAAATAATAACAAGTTTTATTTGAAAGTATTATATATACATATATGATATATAAAAATAGATTATATTTTTTTAAGTTTAATACTATTAATCAAATATCAAAAATATATATAAGAGGGTCAATATGCATAACTTATTGGTCCAATAAAAATATTAATAATATAAAAAAAATTGACCAAATTATAATATAATCTTAAAAATAGTATTTTTATTTGTACATCCGGCTATTTTATTGATTAAACGAAAAAATTACTTCCTCTGTTTTTATATATAAGATGTTTAGAGATTTTTTTTTTGTTCAAAATTAGTTGATGTTCTTACATATCTATGCAAAAATTAATTGTATATTTGTTGTTTAGACTCTTTGAATTATGCATGTTGTTTTTCTGTTGGTTGAATTGTTTTGAAATTGAAAGTAAAACCTGTTTTATTTTGGAAAAATACAAAATTAAATGGGAGAATTGCTGAATATGACTCAAAACTTGAGTTGAAATGCAAAACTAGACCTCCTATTGCATGTTTGACAAAAATAACTCACAGGAGTAGTGAAATTACAACTTTAACCCTTATGACCAAACAAAAAAACGTCAATCTCAATTACTATTTTATTCTAGAGAAGTCTACTCGAGAAGTTAAGTAGACTTCTCGAGTAGACTTCTCCAAGAAGTCTACTCTTTAATAATATGTTTACAATTAATTTTAAAAATCATAAAAGATAATTTAATAAAAAAAAATTAGATACATAACAACAAATATATACTTTTTACACCTATTAAAAATAAAATTTGACAGAAAATAATCAATTTAAATCATCATAGATAAATTAGGATAAAAATCAATACTAAGAGACTTCTCGAGTAGACTTCTCGAGTGTCTACTTACACGAATTTTTTCCTATATATATAAGGAGAGTTTAACCTAATTGTATTAACAACAAAATCTCTCTCTATCTAAAAAATGCCTCTCTCTCTCTTCTCCCTTCTCTCTGGCCATGAATTTCTTCTCCTTCCTCTCTTGCTATCAATATCCTCTCCATCATCTCTATCTTGCATTCAACCTCCTCTCACTTGCAGGTTATGGTAGTGGTAAGCAAATCTGAGCTTTTGTGTTCCTCTTTTTATTTGCTTTGTGTTCATATTGCAAATCTGAGATTATTATTATAGATTTGAGCTTATTGTTGTAGATCTAAGTTTATTTTTGTAGATCTGAGTTTATTGTTGTGTAAATTTTGTAGATTTTGTTAATTTTTGTTATTATTACAGAGCTGAATTTTGTTGATTTTTGTACAGATCTGAATGTTATAAATATAGTAGATTATTATTATAGATCCGAGCTTATTAGTTTAGATTTGAGCTTATTGTTGTAGATCTAAGTTTATATTTGTAGATCTGAGTTTATTGTTGTATAAATTTTATAGATTTTGTTCTAGATCTAATTTTTTCGTTATTGTTGCAGAGCTGAATTTTGTTGATTTTTTTGCAGATCTGAATGTAAACTTCTCGAGTAGACTTCTCGATCTCGAGCAGACTTCTCGAGTAGACTTCTCGATCTCGAGCAGACTTCTCCAGCAGACTTCAGTTGCATACATAGTTTTCAGAGATTTTAGTTTACTAGTCATTTCTTATGCCAATTTTAAGATTTATAATTAGTGATCCTTAAATGTTTGTTTGTTTAGAGGGTTATTTTCTATGTAATGTTGAATTGCATTGAATGTTTTGTATCAAATTCCTAAATTATCTATGTTTATCTATTTTACAAAATAGACTTCTCATGTCTCGAGTAGACTTCTTAAAGACATTAATTTAAGTGATTCAGAGGGACATTTCTCCCATTTATATCATATAACTTGTCAACCGAGTAGACTTCTCTTGTCTCGAGTAGACTTCTCCTGTCTCGAGTAGACTTCTAAAAGACATTAATTTTACATAACTTAAAAGTGATTCAGAGGGACATTTCTCTCATTTATATCATATAACTTGTCAACCGAGTAGACTTCTCTTGTCTCGAGTAGACTTCTCCTGTCTCGAGTAGACTTCTAAAAGACATTAATTTTACATAACTTAAAAGTGATTCAGAGGGACATATCTCTCATTTATATCATATAACTTGTCAACCGAGTAGACTTCTCTTGTCTCGAGTAGAATTCTGAAGTAGACTTCTCATTGTCTCGAGTAGAATTCTGAAGTAGACTTCTCATTGTCTCGAGTAGACTTCTTAAAAACATTAATTTTACATAACTTAAAGGTGACAACATTCGCCCTCCTTTGCTATTCACCCTCCTTTGCCAACATTCACCAAGAAGCTCACCATGTGTGCAACCATCTCTTAAGAACAACATTCACCCTCTTTTGCTATTATCCACATCGAACTGCCACACTGATTCACTCTTAACCCATTATCCATAAACAGCGGGTATGTGAGCCATTCTCTGTGAAAAAAGAACAAAATCCAAACCACATTAGACATCAAAATTGCATAAGTAGACTTCTCTGAAAGTCGGATGAAGTCTACATAGTAGACTTCTACAGTAGACTAAGAAGTCTACTCTTAATAAGCTAAGTATCATATAAAACATGAAAACTCATTCGACTATACCTATAAAATATAAACATGCAAAACTTATACATAAGCAAGAAAACTTAATAACAGAAGCTTAGAATCACGAAAATCTTAAAAATTCGTTATATATTGTATAAAAATGATTTTTTTTTAAAAACAAGAAAAGTAGACTTCTCGGATAAAAGTAGACTTCTCGCAGGTTAGTTTTGCAATTGCCAAAATATTAGTAGACTTCTCTATGAAAAGTAGACTTCTCTGAGAAGTCTACTTTCGTAAGCAGACTTCTCGCAGGTCATTTTTGCAATTGCAAAATATTTGACTTTTTGGTCAATTGCAAAAATGACCTCAAGAAGTCTACTTGCAAAAGTAGACTTCTCCGAGAAGTCTACCCTGAAAAGTAGACTTCTCCGAGAAGTCTACTTCCGTAAGTAGACTTCTCGCAGGTCATTTTTGCAATTGAAAAATATTTGACTTTTTGGTCAATTGCAAAAATGACCTCAAGAAGTCTACTTGCAAAAATAGACTTCTCTGAGAAGTCTATCCTGAAAAGTAGACTTCTCCGATTCCATAAGTAGATTTCTCGCAGGTCATTTTTGCAATTGACCAAAAAATCAAATATTTTTCAATTGCAAAAATGACCTGCGAGAAGTCTACTTGCAAAAGTAGACTTCTCGGAGAAGTCTACTTTGCATAGAGAAGTCTACTCTACAAAGTCAAAGGTTGGTCAATTGCAAAAATGACCTGCTTCTAAAGAAGTCTACTCGAGAAGTCTACTCGAGAAGTCTACTCTATTTTTTTGTTATCAAAGGAAATTGAGTAGACTTCATTCAGACCAAAAGAAGTCTACTTTTTCATGCGGTCAATTGCAAAACTAACCTGGGCGTTGACTAGTAGACTTCATTCGGACCGAGAGAAGTCTACTTTCAGAGTATTTTCATAAATAAGTGAGGAAGATGAGGATTAGTTGGTCATTTAGATTTCCGAAAATAAAAGAAATTAATTAAAAATAATGGCAATTTCGTGAATAACTGAAACTATGAAGGATTGTTTGGACACAAAATGGCAAATTTTGGGAAAGTGATTTTTGTGGGTTAGATTTGCAATTCAAATCAAATTTTAGGTCATTTTTGCAAGAATCCCAAATTAAATAACTTCTTATTTTTTGTGCAAAATTCTTAAACACCATATATATATAAAAACAGAGGGAGTATAATATACAATTTTTAATCGAATGTAATTATTTATAATATTATGATTTTTAAAACATTAAATAAATTTTCAATATTTTGACTATTTGATATAATATATTTTCTAACTTTATATCAAATTTAGATATTTATATTATCTGTTTAATTTATACGGTTCTATTAAAAAAATTATATTAAGCAAAAACTATTTATAAATATTAATGACTATTAAATCAAGTTTTATACTTTTACTAATTTGTTTTTATCTTTTATATATTTTTATAAGGATTTTTGAACCATCTACATCTTCTTATTTACAATATGTGATTTTTAAAACATACTTATATTTATTTATTATTTTAGTAATATATATTCTTTGTTAAAAATTCAAATAATACACATGTACAAAAATCTATGTATTTTTTTATTGTAAATCATGTGGTGATTTATTTTTCTTACAAATAAAACTTAAATAAAAGGATGAGAAGAAACATATTGTAAAGAATTAACTAATATGATGTTATTTTTGATAAATAATATCTTTATAATTAAATGATAAATTATGTATATATAATTGATATGAATTATGATCTAAGCATTTAATATGAGTGACTAATGTAATTATTTTAGTAACAAAATTTTTTTTGAAAAACTCTATGGTGATGACACATAGCAAGCATCACTGTAATTACTTATAAAATTAAGATTAATTTCTAAAAAGAAAAGAAAAGAAATGAAGTTATATATAATTCCCAAACAAAAAAAGCATTGAGTGTAAATAATGGAAGGAATGAAAATAAACTTAATGTTATTTAATAATTTTAATTAATTTTAACTTATTTTATTTTCATTTACATCAATATTTCTGCATATATTCATTTTTTTATTTTTTTTCTTCTTAACTACCATTATTCTATTTCTTTGTATTCAGTATTTTTAAATTCTTTTCTAAAATTGATAATCAGTTAATTTTCCTTTTCTATTTATTTTAGTATAAATACAGACTATTATTTTAGTATGAGTACCGTAACCTCGTGGCTTTCGTAGTTACCGTCTCACGCAGCCGTAAAAAGATGGACCTAAGAGAATCAGTAGGGAAGCAAAACGAAATCGTTCTGCAGTTGGCTAAGCACGTGATCGCTACCACCGCCGGAAAACCTTCGAACCTCGTCTTTTCGCCGGCGTTAATCAACGTCATCCTCAGCTACATCGCCGCCAAATGTCCCGGGGACACCGGAGACAAGATTGTCTCTTTACTACGGGCGTCTTCTACCGATGAGCTTAACGCCGTCTCCTCCGAGGTCGTTACCAACGTCCTCGCCGACAGCACCGCGCACGGCGGCCCAATGATATCGGCAGCCAATGGCTTCTGGATCGACAAGTCTCTCTCTGTCGAACCTTCTTTCAAGGATCTCTTGAAGACTTCGTATAAGGCTGCTTTCAACCAAGTCGATTTTCGCACTAAGGTAACTTAATTCCTTTAAATCTTTCCCAAATATCTCTTTCAACTTCTACAATTTGTTCAGAACTTTGCCTAATCAAATCAACAATTTAGCCAAAAGCCCTCGTATATATAACATTATTTAATCCAAATAACACAATTTCGGCTATTTTTTAAGCAATTTGTTCGGAATTCTTTTTTTTTGTTAAATCGATAATTTAGCGAAAAACCGGGCATTACTAGGGATTAATTCTTGCATGCTTATTAGCTTTAATCCGGTTTATAAATCACATAACTTTATTTTATTTTTGGTCTATGATAAATCACATAACCATGAATTATTCTAGCATGCTTGATTAGATTTGTGATTAAACAAAAGATTTCACTGAGGTTTTGAATGAGATCAACTAATCACAGATTTTTGTTTGTTTGTTTGTTCACATGTTGGTTCTTGAAAGTCTGATGAAGTGGCTAAAGAGGTGAACTCATGGGTTGAAAAGGAGACGAAGGGACTCATCACTGATCTTCTTTCACCAGAATCTGTTACTCCTTTGACTGATTTCATATTTGCTAATGCCTTGTTCTTCAATGGAAGATGGGATGAGGAGTTTGATCCATCGCTAACGAAAGATTCCGACTTTCACCTTCTTGATGGAACCAAAGCACGTGTGCCCTTCATGACCGGTAAATCCTACCGATACAGTCTCGAAGCTTACGAAGGATTCAATGTCCTCACTCTACCGTACAGGCAAGGGAGCAATTATAGAGAAGACCGTCGTTGTTTCTCCATGCAAATCTATCTTCCTGATGAAAAAGACGGATTGCCCGAAATGCTGGACAGATTGGCTTCTTGTCCTGGGTTCTTGAATGGCGAAGGAGACATTTCTGGCGAACGGGCAGAAGTCGGAGAACTCAAGATTCCGAGGTTTAAATTCTCTTTTGATTTCGAAGCCTCGGAAGCTCTCAAGGGTTTGGGTTTGGATACGCCATTGGAGACGATCATCCACAAGTCTTGCATTGAGGTCGATGAAGTGGGATCGAAAGCTGCAGCTGCTGCTGCTGTAATATCAGTCGGCGCTTGTATGCCTCCGAAAGAGATGTATGACTTTGTGGCCGACCATCCGTTTCTCTTCCTCGTCAAAGAGTACGGAAGCGGACTGGTTCTGTTCCTTGGTCAAGTTCTTGATCCTTCTATGCATTGATTTGAGTTGTGTCCCAAAGTCTCGGGACTATTTGACTCTATTTTTGTGTCCCTTGACGAATGGATTCCATGGCCCATTTGGAACTAATACCTTCACTTTGTCATGAGGCTATTTTTTGTTTATCTTTAATGGACTTTTCTTCTTCTGTTTTGGTGTCCTTTAATACTACTTCTCATATGGTGATCAGGCCAATTGTCATAATCCATGTTTTCGCATAAGTTAAAATGTCGTCTAGGTACATTTTTTTTGGTTGTATGCCTTCCTTTTTTAATAAGATGATCGAAATTCAAACAAGGCTATATGAAGATTAAAAAAAGTCTTCTCCTTTGACCAAACACTGTCGATACCAATTCTGAAGATTTTTAAAAAGTCGTCTCCTTTTGATCTTAGACATTGAATCTCCTTTATGATTTTAAAGCCACTAGGAAACATATATACAGAAAGGTAATACTAAAATGGAGATAAGAGGAAACCACAACAGCTAAAACCTAAGGCCGAACCTACCTAACTGATGAAAAACGACTACTTGATGGTCACAAACTTGTTAGTACCGTGCCTGGCCCAATGGTTCCTGAGGTCAACCGGGAGAGTGAGGTCATAGCCTTCACCTGCAAGCCTCATGAGGAGCTTGACATAAGCACCATTGCTCATTTTTCTTCCAGCAAGACGAACTCCAGGTTTTGTGGTGCTCATGGGCAGTGGGTACGTCGAGATTCTAATGGTACAGCACGAGGATTGCCAACCGCCCATGCCCCATTTGTAGCAAACCCTTTGAACGCCTGTACATGAACAAACGGGAGGAGGAACCCCTGAAACATCGAAGCTTGAGATGTCAACGTTGATGTCAGGATTCTTTTTCTCGCGCATTGTCTCGGGAACGATAGGTGTCTTCTTTGGATTCTTGGGAGCAGAGCGTTTCTTCTTTTGTGGTTTCGGCTTCAAAGCGTTCGAAGGAGACAGACTCGTGGACTTGTGTTTCACTGTCTCCATATCGTTTCTGGATTCTCTTGTAGGAGGAGGAAACAAACGAGCTTGAGGCACCATGACACATTCAGCAGGGTTTGCTTGAGGGACTTGAGAAAGATCAATGCCTGTGGTCCTTGGAACGGGAAAATAGGAATTGAACCAATGAGCATTAGACGCAGAAGAGCATGTGTCCTTGCTTGCGCTTGTAGCAGATTGGATATGGCTTCGTGATGGATATGGATTCATCTTGATAGCTAGCTTCAGTGGCAAGATCGCACCCTCACGTAGCAGCTTTCTACATTGATTTCAAGAGCAAGCAAGATTAGCCAACATGTCTATAACCAACAACTGAAACTAAGATTATGAATCAACACATGGGTCCGGAAGCAAGAGAACTAACAAAGAGACAATCTACATGCTATGTTTAATGCCTTAGATTGGGATAATACGGAGGAAAGAAAAGCATAATCTATATAGTTTTCTTCCAATAGCAGTTTTCAATTAATCAAACAAAGGTCTACAAGACAGAATCAGATATTGATGGATATGCCTAATTATGCACACAAACATCTATATCTTTAAAAACGCAAGACAGTTCTATTAGGAAAATCCTTTAGAACCCAGATAATCAGAATGCAATACATACAGGTATATACACATCTAAAGTGTAAAAAATTATCTTTTCAGAATTGTTTTGAGTGAAAATTGGCAAACCCAAAAGAGATTACGAAAGAAGAACCAACAACCATGAGCGGAAAATCTTTAATCGCAACCATAAACCGTTAAAAATCAAAACTTCTGCTAGGGTTTCAAAGCAATCATACCTCGAAACAGAGTCGAATCCCAGAACAAGTGATCTTTCGGCAGACGCAAACAAGAGAAATCGTCAGAGTTACCAATGGCGTCACTTCGCCGCTCGCTACACTCCGGCCACTCTCTCTCTCTCTCTCTGAAGCGTTTCGCTGGACGAATTAATTATTCATCGGCTCTGAGAATTCTAGGGCTCACCGAATTTCAAAACAATCCGCTTCTTATTGCCCCACGCGACTTCTGTGCGTATAAAAACATTGGGTATATAAAAATAGGAAAAAAAGCAATTATAAAAAGGATCGACTATTTTACGGCCCATGAACTATATGGGCCTAGATCAGGCTTCTTCTTCCTCCGGGCTTTTTGCCTATAAGAAAAATAATTATTTGTATTATTTCTTTTTATTAGTTTACGAAAATTGATTTCCATTTTTTATATAAGTAAAAATGTATTTTCTCATTTATCAAAAAGTTTCCGAATTTTTACATTCAAGCTGAAAACTCTTTCGTAGCCATTGGATGAACGTAAACAAATTTTATAGCCGTTGATATGTGAACGCGTGTAATAAAACTTGAACTGATTTTCTATAAATAAAAGTTTCAGCGGGAAAGTCAGAGGTGGATCTGCTGGGAAAATCGAGACCGCCGTTGTTATCCATGACGGAGATCCCAAATTAGTAACTCTAACTGTTCCACCTCCCTCTTTCTCGATTTTCTTTTCTTCTCCTCTTTTCCTTTGCTCCCCTGAAATCGATCCGAAAGCCGCGTAGAAGTTTTCTCCGATCAGATGGATTCTCGGGGTTCATCCGAGCAGGAGGATGAACGGATCGTCCAAGTTAGACAAGCTCTCATGTGTCCCGATGGCGGAAGATTTGAAGGTCTTCGAACGGCGCGGTTCCTTAATTACACCACCACCTCCATAGACGACGACGTTTTCGAGCTTCCGCCTGATGCGTTCGTGTCTCCGCCAGAGACGTTAGACCCAGAGAAATTACCCGTGAAATTATCGTTTTCCGGCTGGGGTTCGCCGTCGGTGAATTGGATCGAGTGGGTAAACGCGATGGCGGAGTCCAACGCGGCGGTGTGGCGGAAATCTGGCGTCTATGACGCGATCATGGCGTCGCGGTACCAGATTATGAAGCAGGACGACCTGATGGTGGCGTTGGTGGAGAGATGGTGCATCGAGACTAACTCATTCGTGTTCCCTTGGGGTGAAGGGACGGTGACGCTAGAGGATATGGTCGTTCTCGGCGGATTCTCGGCCATCGGGAACAACGTTCTGGGTTCGATCAAACGGGAATCGATGAAGTCGGTGGAGGAGAAACTGAAGAGAGCGAAACGCGAAATGGAGGCGAGTTCGATGAACAAATGTTGCGTTAGTATGTGGATGAGGGAGATGATGAACTCTGGGAATGAAATTGAGCACGAGGCGTTCATGGTTTCATGGCTCTCCCGTTTCGTCTTCCCCAATTCAGCTGATCTCGTTAAGGATAAGCTCTTTCCAGCTGCGGTTCAGCTCGCTAGAGGCGTTAGGCTTGCTTTGGCTCCAGCCGTTCTTGCCGGTATTTACAGCAATCTCGGTGTCTTGAAGAAGCAGCTCGTCGGCTCCGGAGAGGAAGAGAAGCTGGTGACGGCTACATCTCCGTTTCAGTTTGTGCAGGTGTGGGCTTGGGAGAGGATCATTGAGCTGCGGCCACCTGGCCAGCCTACCCAGTTAAAGCCTTACGAGCCAAGAATGGCACTATGGCACCAGCACGGTAGTAACCAGGAGGCGCACCAGAGCCACGAGAGTATCAGAGTGGTTCTAGACTCGGCCAAGGAGAGTTTCGATCACCGTCCATATACCAAACCTCTGAAAAACTTCAAATTCCCAAAGTTCTACTTAGAAGATGACTGTTGGGTGTCTCTAGAGGATGAAGACATTGTAGCATTTGGTCGGTGTTTGAGGTGCTCTAAGCTGGTGGGTTTGAACTGCATTGAACCCTATTATCCTCACCGTGTGGCATTGCAGTTTGGTTATGATCAGGATGTTCCTGGAGTAGTCCCGGTGGTGCTAACTGAGACGCCGGAATTGGCGTGGAAGGATTACATCCGACCGATTTCAGATGAAATGATGTACATTCCTTCTAGGCTCCGCCAAGCTGATGTTACGGTTAAGTACATACGTTGGTGGAAACAGTCTGTTACAACGCTACAGTCCATGGCTAAGAGAAGTAGTACTCATACACTTCTGAAAGAGAAACCCACAGGGGAAACAACAACAACAACAACAATGGTCAAATCTTCTCCTCCAAGAACCTCAAAAACATTAGGAGCAAAAGCAGAGTTGAAAGGAGGGACTTCAAAGACTTTGAATGATAAAAGCAATGGAAGTAGCTCTGATAAGAGTCTCACAGGTTCAGAGAAAGCGGATAAGAAATCGAAGCCTTTGAAAAGGACTGAATGGGTCAAGAAACCAGTGTCTGGGTCGACAAAGAGTCCAGGAAGATCAGTGGATGAAGTCAAAGGACAAAGGGACTCGCAGGAGATAAAGGGTCATAGCCATGTAAAGTTTCTACTTCCCGGCTCGTCTGGTATCTCACCTCAGACTCATCATCACTCACTCCCTCAAAAGCAAAACTCTAAAAGTATGTAATCACCTCCTGATCTCATTGACTCAATTGTTGCGCGCTTTCGTTCTCTCATCTAACTTCTTGCTATCTTGGGCAGCTTCTCCTTTAGTAAGACCAAAAGCATTACCTTCTTTTCCCAAGGAAGAGAAGAAATACATTAAGAAGTCACCAAGACCACAAGCTTCGAAAGGACCAAATGATTCATCTTCTTCTTCTGGCTCTCCTTCTTTGACAAGCAAGAAGTCACCAAAAATATCCCCACAAACTAGTAGCTCGCATCGGATTTCACCATCTAAAGCCACTCCTGATATTAAGAGAAATGTTGTTGATCACCGAATCAAAGCTCATCCCAAACCAGAATCTTCAGAAGAAACCTTATTTGGCAGCAAAGGAGGAAGTGAAGCGATGATGAATGCGTTGAAGCTTCTGAGTGAGGTAGTGAAATTGAAGGAGCACGTGGGCGAAGGAGGTGAAGTGATGTATCAAATACCAAAACAACAATTCGAAGTTTTGAGCCAAGGAGTGAAAGATGTTCTACACGAGTTGCAGTCTATTAAATCCGCATTGAACATCGATAGATCATCATTACTCTAAGATTTACATCCAAGAACATGACTGGTTATCCATATGATTTTACATCTGAACCCCTTTTCTTTAATTGTTCCTTACCTCACTGATCTCAGAATCTTCAAATATTTTATTCAGTTAAGAGAAACTAATATGGTCTACATACCAAACCTAAGAAAAAAACCATTCATCCTTCTAAGTTCCTTTACACATAACATAAGACATCACTGGAAGATCTTTCCTGCGTTTCCCTCTCTACTGCTATCTTTCTTAGTGATCTTCGATTTCACCTTTGATTTGTTTCTCTTATCACCGATTGCATTTCTGCTAGAGTCATCATCCCTTCATCTTCTTCAGCCAACTTCTCAGATGCATTTAAAACTTCTCACTCGCCCTTCTCAGACATTCACCCATCCTCACCAAAGCATTTCTTCCTCCTACTGTGAGTATTGATCTTGAAAGTACGAGCTCAATTTTCACTTCCATCTCTAGTTATCTACCTTCTTCTTCCTTTTCAACTTCCTGTGCCTCAAAACTCTTCTTGCAACTAGGACACATCAAATTGCGCCCCAAATACTTCCTATCAAACTTAAAAGCCTCATTCACAAGCTTGAATCCTTCCTCGCTCAGAACTTAAAAGCCTCTTCCAAAGATCATCCCAAACACCAAAGCTAGCTTCTTCCTAAACTGTTGTTTTATGGAATTGATGTGAATGTGAAAGAAAGGCTCTACCTTTAGAATTTTGTACCATTCCGGCGTGTCTCCGGCGGCGGAGCTGATGATCTCGAAAGCGGGTTTTTGGTATACTGCTTCATTTTCAGTATCTGGGTCTGACCATGAAGCTGCCATTGCTGTGTTATGCAGATTCGGAGACACAAGACAGACGCTACATTTTCTCTTCCCTTCATCCTAAATCTTACTTGGTATTTCTCACCCTCTTATTTCTCAGAAATCACTTTTATGCCCAATAGTTTATTGAGAAATATATTCAGTTCACATTATTATCTTTTACATAATTTGACCTCACAATTTGTTCACTAAATTTTTACATAAGGTAAACAACATATTTTTCGTACAACTTTTAGCACAAAATATGCTTTCCTACTCTTCTACCAATGAGCATGAACCAATTTTTATTACAGTTTGAAATGTACCTTTGCAAAATTTAATTTTTCCTTTTCAATTTGGTTTTAAGAAATTTTCTTCTAAAATTTTGACAATTGTGGGTAAAAGTCATAAATAAGTTTTAAAGAAGGGGTTTTTACAAAAAAACACTTAATATAGGCAAAGAAGCAATTTTTATTCCTCGTGAACTCCACGCCCCCTTTCTTCTCCGTCTGAAAACACAAACAATCAGCCAATTAATTTTTCTTGGTCAAGACATTGATTCCCTCTAAATCTCTGCGAAACTGAAGCTCATAGATTCATACCGCATCTCCCAACTGTGCTCAGGATTTTCAGACATTACCGGTCATCAGGTATGTCTGTCGCATCTCCAGTTTGAATCTTTGGGTATAAATATATATATTTTGCGTTTCTGTTCTGAATTCGATCGAGTTTTTCTAGGGCTTTCGAGGGTTTCTGTTTATACTATTCGGTTTCGTGTTATCGTGTTTATCAGCTCCGACATTGCTACCTACACGCTAGATTTTCTGCATCCGGAGAAAGAGACCTTTTTTTTTTAGCTGTTGAATTATCAATATATTACTCTGTGGTGCTTTAGGGAACTGAGTTTGGTTAACGATGAGTAGGTGAAATCGGGAATAGCATCTAATTAGCTGAAATTGTTGAATTGTTGGATGTGGTAGGGTTTATGCATCTAAGTAGATCTCGTCGTTGAATGAGCTGAGTTCGTCTTGCAGGAAGCTCTGACGGGGATTGTTTAGAAATCGGTGAATGTGATAATGGCTAGCAGCGAGATGGAGAAATCGAGTAAAGAGAAAGAACCTAAAACGCCGCCTTCTTCTTCTTCTGCTCCTCCCTCGTCACAGGTTTGCGTTTTTTTTGTTTGCATTTCTCTAATTCCCATTTTAAGACAACTTGTGAATTGTGATGTAAGAAAGGAAACAAATCCCGTGACTTTAGCGACTAGGATTAAGAAACTGGAGAGGAAATATAGAAATAGGGAATATATTTCAGCTAATTGTGATTCTGTATCCATATCAGTGATAATGCTGTAATTGGAATATTCTGCGTTTGCAGGAACCTTCGTCGGCTGTGAGTGCTGGCATGGCTACACCAGATTGGTCTGGTTTTCAGGTCTGATTCCTCCGTTTTATGCATCTGTTTTGTCTGTTTTGGTGTTGCATTTGATCGTAATGGGATCTTCTTTTTTCTCCTTTTCACAGGCATATTCTCCTATGCCCCCTCATGGTTTTGTGGCATCAAGTCCCCAAACTCACCCTTATATGTGGGGGGTTCAGGTAAAACTGTCTGTTTTTACATTTTAACGCTTTCTATTGTGATGTGTAATATCGTTTTTCAGAGCGCTGGAAAGTTGCAAATGACATTGATTTTTATGTTTGGACTTCTTGGAGGTTCGAGGGATTAGTTTATATGAGTTACATAGCCTTATAGTGTTTGATACTGATATGTGCATGCTTTGGCAAAATTGGTCTTGTTCTGAGTCAAGATGAATTATGTTCAGCTCTTTATCATCTTAAAACTTTGATTGATTGCTGAGTGTGAACTTTTGCAGCATATGATGCCTCCTTATGGAACTCCACCTCATCCATATGTTACAATGTATCCCCCAGGTGGCATGTACGCGCATCCTTCAATGCCTCCGGTACTGCCATTGCCATACTGTAGATATCTGATTGCTATGGACATGTATTGAAATGGTCGCTATAACATATTCAATTCTGTTTCAGGGTTCTTATCCATATAGCCCTTATGCTATGCCTTCTCCAAATGGAATGACCGAAGCTTCTGTGAGTTTTCATCTCATCAATTTTTTTATTTCTCAAATGGTATTTGTTACCATTGTTTATTGTGGATTCATAACTGAGAGATGCTTTTTTTTGGCAGGGAAATACTACAGGTGGCACTGAGGGTGATCCTAAACAGTCTGATGTGAAGGAAAAATTGCCTATCAAAAGATCAAGAGGAAGCTTGGGGAGTTTGAACATGATCACAGGAAAGAACAATGAGCCTGGAAAAAACTCGGGAGCATCAGCTAATGGAGCTTACTCCAAAAGGCATGTAACTTTTTTGATATTATCCAATCTTAAGGGACGATGTGTGGTTGCTATCATAGGATTTTGATTATCTCTCGACTAGCACCTCTTTTTGACTTTTTGCTTGCTCCATTAGATAATATCTCTGAGATTGCTAGATTTTTTTTGGTTACAGTGGGGAGAGTGCTTCTGATGGTTCAAGTGAAGGAAGTGATGCAAACTCTCAAAATGTAAGTGATGGAAAACCATCTTCAGCCTTTTCAATTTACTCGTATTTTAGTGGTGGGGTACTGTTTCATGAGATGTACCTTGTTGGTCGTCTCTGCAATACTCCAATCACTAGTTTGACCTATTCAGATCTATCACTCTCTTGGACTTTTCCCATGTAAACTCCATGAATGTTACTAGCACACTTGAATAATTATGATAGACATTCTGATCTGCTTTGCAATCCATGTAGGACTCGGGATCTGGACAAGACGGGAAGGATGGTTGGTTTATGATACTTTCTTTTTTCCTGTCATTTCTATCATGTGATTATTTCAGTGAAAGCTGCTTACCAGAGAGTGCTTTGTTGTTTTGAAATTCAGCTGAAGCAGCTTCAGAGAATGGTGGTTCTGCTAATGGTCCCCGAAATGGAAGTGTTGGTACAACACCTCTTCCACCGGTGAGCCAGAACGTGCCAATCATGCCAATGACAGCCGCAGGTGTTCCAGGACCACCAACAAATTTGAATATCGGGATGGATTATTGGGGTGCTCCTACTTCATCCGCTATACCTGGAATGCATGGGAAAGCATCTGCACCAGTTCCTGGAGCTGTTGCTCCAGTCTCGCGAGATGGTGGCCATTCACAATCCTGGTTACAGGTGTGTGCTTACCCTCTTCTGCCCTCATAATCCTTCTCATAAATACTCAAAACTGCTTGTCTTGCAATCAGGACGATAGAGAGCTTAAGCGACAGAGGAGGAAGCAGTCCAATAGGGAGTCTGCTCGAAGATCCAGGTTGCGTAAACAGGTACTAAACATCCTTTTAAAACTTAGATCACTGCTTTTAGCAGCCATGTGAGCAAATTATGGACACAGAAGAAGTTTTTTTTTGTGTTACAGGCCGAGTGTGATGAACTGGCACAACGCGCTGAGGTGTTGAATGAAGAAAACGCAAGTCTCAGAGCAGAAATCAACAAGCTCAAAAGCCAGTGCGAAGAGCTCACCTCTCAGAATACCTCTCTCAAGGTTTGTAAACAAAAAAAACATCCATATTTATTTTTTAGAGCCAACCAACCAAACAGTAACTGAAGTTATTATTATCTGTTCTTGTAGGACCAGCTTTTATCATTCCCTGCACTTGAAGGCATAAACGTGGACAAGGACGACCAAGAACCAGACGCCAGTCAAACAGGCGTCGCAGTGACAAAGGTTGATTCCTACAAAGAGTCAACGTGAAAGAGAAACATACAGCAAAAGCAATTCCTAACACAGGTATAAAACGTAGCAGCAACATCAACACTCGGCGGTTCTTTGCTAACAGATGGTTGTAGGATATTAGGCGTCAGAGATCAATAGGTTCGAAATAGTTCTTAGGCTACTTGGTGATGGTTGTTGGTCCAGTGTGAGTTACTGAAGTTAGCTATTTGGAGAGAAAAAAAGAATCTCTACGTTTTTAATGTTTTTATTCAGCATAGTTGCAGAAGCGAATCTGTGGCGATTAAGGCAATGTACTTTTCTGTATCAAATGTACCATTTTTATAAATTTATCAGATTTTTCAATTATCTTCTCTTCACATGATGAATGTGTAATAGACGGTTGCGAATGAATTTAACTTGATTGCTGTGATAAAATCGTAAATATCTTTGATTCTTGACTACAGTTTTGATGTATGAAAGCAAGCAACTGTAAGTAAATGTTGTAAACATCTCATGAGATTTTTTAGTCCTCTTGTGTTATCCGAGGAAGTTAATGATCACAAGATGGAGGACCAAGTTGCAGAGGACAAAATCAGCAAAAGCTCGCTCCGGTGCTAAATCCTGCAATTCCAAAAATGGAAAACAAAGATCAATCGAGATTGTTGAGGAGTTATAAAAAACTGTCAGTAGTTTGGGTCTGAATTAAGACAAAGTTACCTTAAATTCCTTGTTTTCTTTGTTCACTTGAATCCGGAGGCAGACTATAATGAGCACACAGAAAAAAAAACAGGTTCTTGTTTCAGTATCCAAACATTCTTACAGCTAATTTCTTACAACAGATAGATAGAAACAACTTGTATGTTATGTAAATACACAACAAACTCACCAGCAAGAACTGCTGTTCCGATACACGAGAGCACTCCCGAGAGAAACGAGTTGAACGGAAACGATCCCACAAGAGCCATGTAAGCAACCTGGTCAGTGACAGATATCAAGAGAATAGAACTCAGTAATTACATTCTTCTCCAACCAACAAAAAATTCAAAACTGTAATAAAATTCTGTAGAATTTACATGAGTCAAGAATTACAACGCAAAGTGATGAATTTAATACAAATGAAACTAATATTTTTTTTTTGAAGAGAATGTTTAATTTATTCAACCCAAAAAATCGTTTTTACAACAAGTGTAACTTTGTGGAATCTATATTAGTGAAAGGCTAGAGAAAATATTAGTCACGAACAAATGAAACTAATAGCAAATAACTTCAGTGTCATTCTAGCTGAACTGTTGAGTTCATAGATACATTTTTGGATCCGAAATTATATAATTCAAGGATTCGGGATTTCAACAAAATTCTAGTAATCATGAACATTAAAAAACTCATAAATGTGATATCTCCATACAAAAACGAATCGAGAAACTCAGTCGAAGCAGGAAAGGAAATGGAGCTAAGAGTACCTGGATCAGAGCTGTGAAGACCGCAAAAAAGACATACAGGTCGATGATCTGCAAGAACGGGCTCGTTCGTAAAAAAGAAGAATGAGATTTCGGAAAATCCAATGAAAAATCCATAAATGTAAGGAAATATCAGGAAAAAAAAAGAGAATGGTGAACCTTCAGATTCGTCGGAGTAGAGACATATGCAGAACGAAGAGAGTGGAAGAGATCCTGAGCGTCCTTACTAGTCGATCTCGCCATTTCTTCCAAGAACAACACAGAACAACGAACAACACTTTCTTCTCCTCTCTTCCTTCTTCACGAGTCTGTTTACTTTCACCGAAACGGTGTGTTTTGGGATGGGCCTCACCATACAACTATGGTAGGTCAAAACCGTGACAAATTAAAAAAAGATAAAAATAAAAATAAAATAATATGTTTAGTTCCTTAAAGGATTAGCCTTTTGTCCACGCAAATTCCAAGGCACCGCCGACTTATACCTTCTTCGCCGGAGAGACATATATATACATATATATAAATGGCCTGTCTTCCTCGAAACACTTTCCTCTTAGTCGTCGCCGGTTTAGGGTTTTCGTTGCTCTAGCAATACTTGTCTGTGGCTTTTTATCTCCCTCCACAACTTCTCCTTAGCTATTGCAGTTGAACTCTTGCCTTGCGATCTATCTGAACAAAGAGTTTCATAAGGTTAAATTTTGGGTTTTTTTTTTATACTAAACTTGTCTTTAATTTATATTTGTTTCTCCTTTATTTCATCTCTGATTATGTGAATTGGTGTTAGCTTTGGGTAGTCGATACTTTTTTTAGTTCTCGAAATTTTGCTTCTGGAAATATAATTTAAAGTCGTGTTATTCTGAGGTGTTTGGAGTCACTTTCAAGCTTATAACTTGTAAGCAAATTATGATAAGGTGCTATGCATGATTGATTTTCTATGTTTCTAATATTTAAACCGAACAAACAATTGTACCTTTGAAAATATATCTTCTGCTTTTGTTTAGTCTCCTGTAGTGATTCTTATTGGTTAAGTTGTTACTGGGCAACACGAAGAGAAAAACTCGTCTAAGCTGCATAATCGTGTGGTTTTTGTTATGATTGATGGATTCACCCAAAACACAAGAGAGTTTTATCTTGATAGCTTCTGATAAGATCATTTTTTACTTTAAGCCTGTTCTATATGCTGGTCTGTTTCTGCCATTGAAGGTTGAATGTTTTTTTGCTTGTCTTGCAGGGGGACACGTTTGTAAAAAACCGAAGAGAGACTGTGAGGCAGGTTGAATTTTTCTCGGCTTGTCTTGCAGGGACACTTTCTCTGATTACTTTTGTTTTTCTTAGAGACAAAGCACCCAAGATGAAGACAAGTCAGCCGGGTTAGTCTCAAGCTTTTTGATGGGTTTACGGGTCGATCAACTCCGGATTAGTGATTGTATTTTGCGATTTTGCACGTCTTTGTTGATTGTTTTTGTTTCTTGAGGTGTGCTGGTATGTTTTGTACTTCGGTGTGTTTTAAGATCTTAGCCTGTTGAGTGTTGAGTCACTGTCCCACATTTTTTTTGTCAATTTTTCATCCTCTTGTAGGTTTATTGTAACTTCTTTCCTTTCTTGTAATCTCTTTGGTTTCTGGATATATGGGCCTGAGTTTGTGAGGGAATTTCTGCTTGTGGAAGCAAGGATCATCCCTGTTTTTATTAAATGTTGAGTACTGAGTCTGATCTCATCCTTACATCCCCGGTTGTAATAAATGAACTATCTATCTTTGTGTTGACAGTATTGTTTCTACTTAGCATGATGTTTTTTTGAAAGGAATGTCATGAATCACTGTTCATATTGTTGCTTTTTGATGGTGTTTGTAGCAGTGCCTTTCTATTTTATGCTTCTTTGATTAATTATCTATCAGATTATTTCCTTGTGAACCCTCCTTTTGAAGTTTATATACGGTTACTGCAGTTTTTTATTCATACCTTACGCATACCCCTTCTTCTCTTACAGGTTCTTCTCTTACAGGTTTTCCCCATGCTGTTGGTGAGTTGCCATCTTTAGGACTGCCGAAGATTTAGGTGTTTTTGTCGAGTTTCTATTCAAGGTTGTAGGTTCAGCGTTGTTCGTAGATCGAAATGGAATCCTCCAACATCGTCAAGGTATTGGATAGTAATTTTAAAGATGGACATGGAAAAAAGAGAAAGCATCCCGCGTACTTTACTTCATACGATTCTGGGAGGGCATGTGCAAAGCTGCAATGCGTGCTCTCACCTAACGGTTCAACCGAAAAGCTTGAGAAAAAGAGAAAACTGGATGGTGGAAACAAGATTAATGCCTCTGAGAATCAGTTTGGGAAGTCTTTGGTTAGATATTACTCTTACTTTAAGAAGACGGGAGTGCCAAAGCGTGTAATGTTCTATGAGAACGGTGAATGGATTGATTTGCCTGAGCACATTATCTGCTCCATCAGGAATGATCTTGAAGCAAAGAGAGCTGCAGTTGAGGTAAATTGGCGCGGTCGCGATTTTGTTCTGGATTTCTTACACATGCATCGTTTAGACTTGGAAACGGGTGTAAGAACCAAGCTTGCATGGATTGACATTGCTGGGAAATGCTTTTTTCCCGAAGTTTATGACAGCGTCGAGAGAGACTGCTGCCACCATATCTGTAAGGAGGAACCGGAACAACGTGAACAGTATGAGATCAAGCTGCACCTCGAAATTGATGTCAATGGTGGGAAATTACCGAGTATGGATGATATTCGGGTTGTTCATCGTTCTTCTAATGGGGAATATGACGAGGAGGCTTCAGAGGATAGCTGCAGCCGTGAGCTTGATGATGCTGTTGAGAAATGGGACGAAACAGGAACTTTGTTCTCTAGTGTCAAGCCTCCTGCTGAGAAAGAAGTTGATGTTGACGCTGTCAAGGAAATGTTTGTTTCAGGTATGTCCACTCTAGGACATGTAGAGTTGGTTGATGCGTATCGGTTTTCAGGTGAGACCGCCAAAGGTCGTGAGTCTCTTTTCCAGAAACAAGCTAACATCACTCAGAATCACCGAGGAGATGCAAACATTAGATATGCGTGGGTTCCTGCGAAGAAGGAACTGATATCTGCAGTTATGATGCAAGGACTTGGAGTTGGTGGAGCATTCGTTAAAAAGTCTATGTATGGTGTTGGGGCTCACTTATCTGCTGCAAACGTCCCTTATTTCAGGTGTACTTTCTCCCACTTTATCTCTGTTGCTCTCTCATTCAACTTCCTGCTATTTTTTTGTTTCCATGGTTTTAGTTGGTTCGTTTGTTTTATGTTTCTCTTTGAGCATATGTGAAAGATAATGTTTACAGTGCTACACATTGTGATGTTGATGAAAATGGTGTGCGTCACATGGTTTTGTGCCGTGTAATAATGGGGAATATGGAGCTTGTTCGTGGTGATAAAGATCAGTTCTTTGCTGGTGGAGAAGAGTATGATAATGGAGTTGATAATGTCTCGAGTCCGAAGCATTATATTGTCTGGAACATGAATATGAACACTCACGTTTTCCCAGAATTTGTAGTTAGCTTCAAGCTGTCTATCCCCAATGCTGAAGGTGATTTTTCCCTTATTCTCCTTCCGATCCTATACAAAAAGTTTAACCATAAAAGTATAGTTTCCATCAAAATCAAACTGATGACGCATTGAATGGGAGACAGCATATAGATCTTGCTGAAGATCATCAGCTATTTTGGGACCTTGAAATCTTGCTCTATAATTTAGGGGTCCAGTGAGACATTTTGTGTTGTGGTGTATTCGAAACTAGATGAGATATACCGTTCTTGCAGGTAATGTGCATGAGAATTCGGAGCTCACCTTGGAAGGACCCAAAGATTCTCTCTCAGATGTGAGTGTTATTGGACCTAATCGTGCTCAAGTGGTTTAGTGTGTGTATCTTTGATTGGGACTTGAAACAGTAATGCAGCTTCTTTGTTTAAAGCAGGAGCCAGGAGGCAGCAAGAGGCCGAGATCTTCTTTGATGCCTTTCCCTCTGCTGTTCAAGGCAATCTCAAGCAAAATTGCCCAGAAAGACATGAACTTGATCACTGCTGATTACCAACAACTTCGGGTACAGTAGTTAACTCTTTGAATCCTTTTTTTACCCATATGTCAAAGTTGTCATACCGTTTATACCGGAGTCTATGTGATGTTGCAGGAGAAGAAGATCTCGAGAGAGGAATTCTCGAAGAAGCTGCGTGTGATAGTTGGAAATGATGATCTGCTGAGAACCGCCATTGCAGCTCTTCAACGCTTGCCACACGCTGCCATGAAAATGAAACCTACCACAGGTGGTGGGCTTGTAAAAGATGATGATGAATGATGACGACGAAAGAGCGAGGCTTCTTCTCTTCTGTTTTTTTATGGTTGGGGCTAGAAAAAAATGCGTCGACTTCTTTGTGCTGTCGTTAAACTTTATAATTAGATTAGAATAAACGACTGTTTTAGGTAGGAGTTACTCTTTCTTTCCCGAAACTAATCTCCATTTTCCTGATGTTTCTCCTCAATTGAAATTAAAGAGTCTTTATTGATCATCAGCTTCTTTGTTCTTTGTGGTGGTGAGATATGAGGTAGAGAGTTCATCATCTCTGGGCTTATTCGATAGTCAACAAAACTCAAATCATCGAATATAATATACAACTTCGTCTACACAAATTATTTAATGTAAATGATAATAATAACTCTTCAAGAGCAATGCTTGTGGCTGGTTTTGTAGGAGAGAGCATGTTTTGAAACTGTTTATGTAAACCCTGGATGAGCTCCGGTGTCAGACGACGGATCCCATCCCGGCGGTTTTATATTTGGCCAATCGCCACGGCAACCCAACCTTATGTACAGACTCTTCTTACCTTCAAAACCATAAACGACTCGTTCAATGATATGATCAGATAAAAATCACAAAATTTTAAAATTTGAGCTTCTTCTGTTTGTTATTTACCTGTAAGTCCTTTGTCTGAGATAATCAGTTGCTTGAGTGCACTCAATGAAGCCTGAGCCACGCTCTTGGCATGCGTAGGGTCCCAACCTTGGAGCTTCACCACCACGTCTGCGTTTGCATACCCAATCTCCCTCTCTTGCTTGTTTCGCCTCGCTTCTTCCTTTGCTGTTTCTTCATCTGCATTTCACAAAACCAATCTTGTATGTAATGATACTTGCTTTTTTAGTTGTTGATAAGGGTCACTTTTAAGTGGTTGTAGAGAGAATTGACCTGTGGCTTGAGTCGGTGATACCCAAACGGTAAATCCAGAATAGAGATGTCTCCACTTATCGGCTCTCCTCGCAGCTCCATGTTTACCTCCCAAAGTTGAGACAACAGTACGGACATGGCTGCAACCACATTGAGATTGGTGGCCAATCTTGACTGGATGCTAAAAAGAGATTGAAACACTAGACATAATGGAAATTTTACCTGCTCAAGCTTTCCAACACCGAACTCTCTGCTTCAGCTACTGAATCAGTCCCTTCCGCAAGAATCCCTAAAAAATGAAGAAAAACAAAAGGGTCATAACAAGTGAGGAAGATGTCTTGATAGATGATGATCATGTTCCAAAAGCAAAAGACTCACAAGAATCGATTGTTTGCTTGGAAAAGCTCTCCAGCAACTCCTTTGAGTCTAGAGGACTATACCTGCAGATAAAAAAAACAACAACTTTATTAGACACTGAAACGTTTTTCATAACACTATTCATACAGAGTTCAATGAAAAGCAGCATGAATACATCATCATACCCGAGGCCAACCGCTAGCTCCCGAGACACTTTTTGGTTAATCTCAGTCGAATCTCCAACAATGTAGATCGATGCACCTTTGAGAAGCTGCATCATTCCAGCAGTCAAAGATTCCCATGACTCAACTATATCAGGCCATTTCAAATCCCCATCCACCTTCTTCATGTTTACAACCAACTGATCTTCGTCTATGTACCTGTTCTGGACAAAAACAGATCCAAAATCTTCAGCCCTTAAAAGGAAATGTCTATAAACGAGTCAAAACTCAATTGCAAGATTTACGCGGTAGCTACTAACCATATTGTTTCTGAAGGCATGATTTTTTCAAAGAGCTGGTTAGTCTCTAGAAGCGTGATAAGCAACCCGTTCCGCTTCTCTTTAACAGCTAAAGATGTTCCATCTGCGTCTACAGATATATCCTTTGGAGAAAGTGTCTCACCTGTCTTCAACCTCAGTCTTAATTCCACCTCTCTTCCACCATCCGTGAACTGTGTGCATCATCAAACAATGATTCACAACTTCTCTCATAAGCTCTTCGGAAATGTATAACAAGCACATTTATAAGTTTATACGCTTTACTACTACATAATTCTCCATTGAACATCGATTATTTACATCACTGAGACTTATAATTAAACCAGCAATGTAAAACCAAAAACCCATTATGAATCTCAATCTTAATTCCAAAAACAAATTGTTGACTGGATTTCCTGGAAAAGAAGAGAAATCAAAACATCGATCATCAAGTAAACCGAGAAAACTCACCTCATAATCGAGAGTGCTAGTGGAAACGGCGGATAAGCAGTTACAAGAGAAGCTATTGAACCGATCGGCGGTAACATTCTGAGAGAACCGCCGGAAGCCGCGGCGCCGGAGGCTATGAAATCCCCTGAGAACGCGAGGCGAGGAACGAATTCGAGACGGAGAAGAGAGGGTCGCTTGACCGGTGATGGGGTTTAGAGAAGGAGAGTAGAAGAAGATTGTAGCCAAACCAGAAGCAAAAGCAGCCATTGATGGTAGTGTGATTTCAAACTCGTCAGACAAAATATTACGCAGGATAAGAGAAAGAGACGAATAGCCGATCGTTGTAATGGGTCTGGGCCTTAACATCTGAGTCCAGTTTTCTTAAGCCCATTATAGTATGATTATCATAGATACCGCATGTTTAATAATATCTTTTTTCTTTATACGTTTTTAAATTCCGTTTATTTTTTGTTCTCTGGGAGTCATCTAAATTTCGTGTGATTTCTGAGACTGTAGTAATCTTGTTTTCTTTTCCAGTTTCCTCGCAAAGCGAGAAGAACACTGAGATTCGTCGGCCATGGCTACGCTCTTCACCACCTCTCGTCCTTCACTCCTCTTTGTTTCCTCTGTTAACCCTAGCAAAAGCTTCTCTCTTTCCAGCTCCGTGAAATCAAATTCTCTCTCTTTCACTTCTGGTCATCGTCCCAGCCCCAGGCCTCTCCGGTTTTCTGAAATCCGATCTTCTCGTCCATTGGAATCAGACTCTGATACGGAAGGTTTTTATTCAGTTACAGGTGGGAACCCGGTAGCTGAGAATGAACCCGAATCTCAGCCAGATAATGCGCCCGCGATTACGGACGAATGGGGAGAGAAATCCGGACCCGAACCTGAGGACTCCGGGACCCGGTTTGCGGAATCGGATCCTCCAAGGAACGAGGACGAATGGGAGGAGAGAACTGTCAAAGAAGCTGAAGTCGACGCCGGCAACGGAAATGCGGCGTACGACAAGACTTGGGAGCTGAAAAGGTGTTTGGCGGATACGGTGTACGGAACTGAATTAGGACTCCGGGCTGGGTCAGAAGTTCGGGCGGAGGTGTTGGAGCTCGTGAATCAATTGGAAGCTCTGAATCCTATGCCGGCTCCGCTAGAGAATCCGGAGCTTCTCGACGGCAACTGGGTTTTGCTGTAAGATCCCTTTCGATATTGTAGAAACATTAGATTGGAACTGAGAATTGCAACACTGTGAGTAGATGGATCCTTTGAGATAGTTTCTGATGATCCTCCTTAATTAAGAATGAGACATTGTGAAATCTTTGATGAAGCTAAGTGATTAATGATCCAGGAATTGTCACTCTAATTGAGCATTGCTGATTGTTTTTGTTATCTTCTTGGGTCATGAAACAGGTACACTGCTTTCTCCGAGTTGCTTCCCCTTCTAGCTGCGGGCTCGACGCCTTTGTTGAAAGTGAAAAGTATAAGTCAGTCTATAGACACAAAGAATCTCTCTATCGACAACTCGACTACACTCTCCGGCCCGTTCGCAGACTTCTCATTCAGTGCTTCTGCTTCCTTTGAAGTTCGAAGCCCTTCAAGAATTGAGGTAACTAAACTTGCATAGTATTCTTAAGTAACCTTGGGTATGAAACATCACTGAAACATTTGGCATTTTGCAATTTGTGTTACACTCCTTAAGGTAGTTCAACCAGTCAATCAAAACTTACCCACAAAACAAAACAATGTTGAAAAGGGTTTTTTGTAGACATTTGCCATATTCTAATATCCGTTTCTCTGAATGTTTGGTAAATGTTAGGTTTCATTCAAAGAAGGTACGCTAAGACCTCCGGAGATCAAATCAAGTGTGGATCTCCCAGAGAGTGTGGCTGTCTTTGGACAGGAGATTAGTCTTTCGTTGCTGAAGCAATCTTTGAACCCTTTACAAGATGTGGCAGCGAATATTTCAAGGGCGATCTCTGGTCAGCCACCACTCAAGCTTCCATTTCCAGGTAACCGAGGCAGCTCTTGGCTCTTGACCACTTATCTCGACAAAGATCTCAGGATTTCAAGAGGAGACGGTGGTCTTTTCGTGCTTGCTAGAGAAGGAAGCTCTCTGCTTGAGCTCTAATATATTGGAGAAGGTATATATAGCAGCAGGTTTCGTGTAAAAACCATAATCACTAGAGATACATCATCATCATCATCATCTTAAATTCTCTTAAATTTTATACTGTAATATGTACTCATTTTGCTTGTCATTAGATAAGTTTGAACAAATGAGAAAGTAATAATAATAATAATAATAATACATAAGCTCGGTTTTGGTCTCTAGTAAAGAGGATTGAACACTTGAACACAGAATCTCTCACAGGACCTTTCTAACTTTGATTCTGAAGAACAGAGAAACGTGCGGGTCACGTAATTGAAACCAGTCACAAGTTTTGGATTCTCCTGGAGATTTTCCGAATATTCGACCACTTATTAAAAAACTCGTCTAAAAAACAGTTAACAAGTGTATCCTCTTGAGTAGTGTTGGTGTTCGTCAGCTGCTTTAATACAAAAAAAACTGATGGAATGTCAGAGAAGCACCGGAACTTCGATAAATTTTGGCGGCTTTCATCTCTGCACCATCCACTGCAAAATGTCCTTCCTGATGACACCATCAAACCCGCCTCTCGCATAAATCGGTTTAACAAGACCGGATTCGCTGTAATTCCGGTACTGCGTGGTACTCCCAGTGGGTCCTGGCGGCTTTATCATCATCATCCTCGAGAGAGTCGGAGATAACTTGGGCCGGAGGTTCCTCAAGGACAAGAACAAGTGCCTACCGACTTCAGTGTTCTGAGGAGTCTGCGTGTTGGTATGCGGTTTCAGCCGGGTTGATTCTAATACTCTCTTTGCCTTGCCTATGCTTGCCTCTGTATGTTTTGGTAGTAGAACCTGAGCTGATGGCTTCATCCGATCGAGCCAGCGGAGAATCCAGTTTCCAAGGTTCCGGCCAAGTTCCATGTCTCTCTGTTGTATGTTCTTGTGGACCCTAAGTGCCACATCAAATATCTGATGCGTCCTCCTGCATATAAAGAAAGCAGTATAGAGCAAATTAGACACATGTCCTACTGGTTTAACAAAGATCATTATCTATTGACAAACGTGAGCTGATACAAATCTTGTTTCTAGCAAGAGAACACTTCAAATCCCATACCAGCACAATATAGGATCTCAATCCAGCAAATACTTGACGAGTTGTATCTCTATTAATATCACAGTATTCTTGAATCTCACATGGAATGGTTTAAGCAACGTATTAAGAGATCTAATATCCTCAAGTAAAATTGTTTTCCTGTAAAACATAAGCTAGTTAAACAAATCCATACCATCAAAATAAGACTATGTTACCTCTTGATTCTACTTTCTAAACTCGGCCTCTCGCATTGCAATGCTTAAATCATTAGATGATTATACATGAAACGAGATTCGGAACAAAACTTTAGCGTATATAACAAATCAGGATCCAAAGGAACAGAAGCACTAGATGTTTATGAAACCTTTACCATAAATAGTGAGAAAGAATCATCAATAGAGCAGCGATTTCATCTAATTAAAAATGGCATTTATCATCAGAGGCAACCAAATCCCAAACCCAGAATCGCGAAATTCCCACACACACAAACAAAAAACTAGAAGACGAATCTTCGAAAGAAAATGTACCGATGCAGAAATTGTCGGACCCTCGGATGCTTAGGGCTAACAATTCGACGCTGGGTCTTCAATGCGAGCCGGTAACTCCGCCTCAGTCCCAAGAAGTACGCTGTTGCCAGAGTTATCTCCCACAACACCATTGCTTCCTATAACCTTTCTTCGTCTTCCTCTTCCTCTTTGTTACCTTCTTCCTCCTCTTCGTATTCGAATATATCCTATAACATTCCTCCGAGAGCCGCCAGAAATTTCAGTCTCATCCCTCTCGGAATCACAGATCGCCTTTCTAGTTTATAGTACCGGGTTGCTTGATCTGCGATGCAATCCTCACCGTCCATTTTACTTGTTTGACACGATATAGTCTTTAACTCTTAATGGGCTCATTTGGGCTTGTCTACACTTGGTTGAGCTGGGCTTTTGTGCATTTTTTGGGTTGAATCACTCGATTATGCTTATAATCCATTGTCAAGTTTTCAGGTAAAGGTAATCAAATTGATCCGTTTGCATTGATCGTTATAAATTAATAGAATAAATATATTGGTCGGATAATTATCCAGAATATCCAATCATCCGTTGGGGGTAAAATTATCTAAATATTATTTTTTTTTAAAATTAAATAAAAAATTTCCGAAAACCATGTTCAGTAAAGATTGTGGCTCAAATGGTCCTGCTACAAATTGTTATTCGCTCTAAAAACAGCAGAATAATCTGTTCCGGTCACCGTTACTCTAGTAACCCGAACTTTTTAATGTTTTTTCTACTGTAAAAGTAGCTAATATTTATTTTAGTAGATTCGAAAGTAAATGAGTTGCAGATAATACGACAACTCTCGTTATTCAAATTTAGAAATAAAGACAAAATATGATCTCACAGTAATTATTTTCCTATTTAATACGATTATCATGTGCATATTTAGCATATTTATTTGTAAGTAGTACACGCTCTCACTGACCAATATTTTATTTGATACGAACCATATACCTTCACTAAGATTTCTCTCTCTAGTACCCCTCCTTTCTCTCTCCGTCGGCGATGCAGAGGCTTTCGCTAGACTCATCAGCTTCGAAATTCCATAGCTATGGAGGAAGGAAGGATGACACCTATGATCTCGATGACTTAAAAAGAAAAGAATCAGCCTCCTCTCCTCCTTCTTCGTCGTCGTCCGCTGCAGATTACGATGATCACGAGCTCAAAGACTTAAAGCCCAGACGGCTATCGCTCCAATCGCCATTTGCGACGACGCATCAGAAGCAAGAGAAGCTCGTACACTTCATCCCCGTTCTCACTCTCATCTGCTTTATCATCCTCTATCTCTCTTCTCACGCTCCGTCGCAATCAGGTTCGTTCTCCAATAGAAACCCGACGATTCAGTGTTTTCGATCTTCTAGAGTGTATTGTTTGCTTGATCGGTTTTTTCTGTTTCAATAAATCTCAGATTTGGCTCAGTTTAACGGATTCATGCGTCCTTCAAAGCATCTAGGTACAATGCAGATTCGATTCAATCTCTCACACTTGAATCTGAATTTCATAACACATTGGCTAATCCACCTTTTACAATCTGAATTCCTAATTGATTGTTATTCCTCATTAGAATCCGACGAAAATGGCGAAATCTCTGGATTCATCAGTGCCGACGCCTTGGCCATCCGTAGTAGCATAAGGAACTTGCAGGAGACGGAAAGCTTCACGACGAAATCACTTCCCCGTCGGCGAACCTCTCACCGGAAAACCGCCGACTTCTAGCTTTTCCCACGTCTTTCATCGACCTCTAAAATTTAATTCGTCTCTTGCATGTCAATCTGTTGGTTCAAACTCAAAAGTCGCGAATCGCGTTTCTGTTATAACTTATGGATAGAAAGATAAAATCGAAATTAGCCTCGCCGGTAAACAATAAATTGAATCCGGCGATGAATTAACCGTCATGCTAGTGTGCGCTGTATATGTGAGGCGTAGGATTACAGTGGACTGAAGTAGAGTTTGTTAGAGTGCGCCTTGAAGTAGTTATGCGATCCAGCTGGAATTTTGGACCGTTACTGAGCCTCGTGCTGCGGTTTAAGATTCCAGCTGGAATGAGTCGTCGTTCCTCTGGTCCTCGCTTGGTACGCACTTTTTTGACCTTTTTACTAGGAGTTACTGAAGACAAAAAAATTACTAGGAGTTAGAGCAACCAATGTATATTAAGTTTCGTTTCAGATGTTTACCTTTTCGTTAAAAATATCTTAACATATGATATTAAATTTATATCAAATGATTCTCTAGAAAACCAATCGGAAAATCAAATGCTGAACTAAGGAGTAAGAAGAAAGATAAATCGATTTATCCAGATTTTGTAAGATATGTGTAGTTACAATCATCGGCTCAGTGTATATCCAAAACGATCAAATTATTGCTGAACAAAAGTCCAAATAAAGTGAAGGAGCGGAACCTAAAACCTAATGCCAAGTATAAATGTGTCCCGGCTTCAACATATCAACGTTATCATTTGGGTCCACTAGAATATTTGATTAATTTGATGAGAGTAGTAATAAAAAAGAAGCATTTGGTGAGAGAAGTGATGCCACGCGGTCTGTCATAATGACGACTGTCACTTTAGCCCACCATCATCACCGTGGTCCGTGACGCTTTCTCTGTATACGTGGCAAATTATCATTGGCTCATTTGGTTAATTACCTTTAACATTTTTTTTTTTTTATCTTGATGACACAGTTTCCTCTTATTATTTGTTGTCCCTTCTTCATAAGTGAAATTGTTTATGACTTAAACGCTAAGTTTGCAAACAGTGTCTGCTTTGTCATAGGATTCGATTTCTTTTGAGATATCCAAACATAATTTGTAATTATTTTACTTAGGATATCATATCAATTTGTTGATGTTTATTTTGACTAAAGTTATAAGAGAGATTGGTTGTGGAGTTTGTCTCTTCTACCAATTGAGTTATATACTTCACAATTCACATGATGAGATTGACATAGGTATTCAACTTATAGTTCTGAAAGTCTGAGATATTTTCCAAATTCAATAGTATGTTGAATTTACTGACAATGTTTTTACTTTTTTTTATTGAAAATCAGAACTATTTAAGGAAAACAAAATGAAAAGGCAGCATGCTTGAAAGATATGAATAATTATTAACCCCCAATATTGTTTGAAACATCAAGCCAAAATTGAAGTAAACTAAGATCAAACCTATATATAAATCAAACTATTAAAGCAAGCAGAAAAAGTAATAGAAGAAAAGATGGAACTGGACGTTATTAGTACACGAGAAATCTAATGCAAGTAAATAAAGCTTAAAGTTTTGGGAATTGACGGAATACATGACATGTATATGCGCAAAACATATTAATAACATCAGCAACATAAAGACTTTTATATATATTTTATTTTAGTTTGGAAAATTTTAGTATTATCAGATCAATATATATAATTACATTTTCGCGATAAATGTAAGAATATATTTTGAAGATAATTTAACAATTAAAAAATCATATTTTAGTAGAAAATCAGTAAAACCATATTTTCATTATTCATAATAATCAGAAATTCCTAATTTCCTGTAATTATTATTAGGATAAGTTATACATTAACAACTGTTATTTCATTCTACATTAATTGGCATCTAAATTTTACTTCGAATAAATAACATTTAAATAAATCTAAAAAAAATTATTCGGATCAAAATTAGAAGATGACCGTAGGTTTTGAACTTCTGATCATGTTAGATTTGATCATGTTAGATTGTAAGTTAATCATTTAGGTTTTCAACTTTTGCTATAGAAACATGTATAACATCTAAGAATTTTTAAGAGAATTAAAAAAAAAAAAAGTGAAAATTTCAGAAGACAATAAATGTTTGTTTTCTATACCACTTAGAGTCTAGACAATGACAAGAATTAAAATCAAAGCCACCTACGAAAAAACCAACTAAATTAAAAGACAAGAAAATGAAGGAAATTACGAGTAAAAAATAAACTGAAGTTTGTTCAGAGGTCAACGTGGCACTTGGTCGGATGAAACTCGAACCCTACGGTAGAATTAGGAGAAGTCAACGGAACCTTGAGATGACACTTAATCTTGGGCTTAAAGGCCCATGAGTTCAAAAACCCAAACTTGAACCTAATCTTAAACCTTAGCTTCACGTCGATCCTGTAAACCCCCGACTTCCGATCGTCCTTGAGATCCTTCCGGCCACCGGCGCCTAACAAAACCAGCCTCTGTCCTTTAAACTCTGTTCCGACCTCCGTCGTGTTCTTATGTCCCTGGTAAAACGAAGACATATTCACGGCGGCGAAACGCTTGCCACCGTAGTAACCCCTCGCCTCTAACCGGTCGTAGTGAATCCCGAGACGTTGGTTAGGGTTACGGATGGAGAAATTCAACCAGAGGTTGTAATGGAGGTTATTGCTTTGCGGGTCGAGATCGAACCGCGTCAAATTGGCTTCCGTGACTTCGAATTTCACGACGTTTGGTCGGAGTATAAACCAGAGAATTAAAGCGACGATTCCAAGGAAAACAGCTACGCCGATGAGAATGTTGCAGAGGGTGCTCAAGAGGCAACCGCCACAGCAAAAGAGACCTTTTAAACAGCAACCACAGATGCTGCAACCTGCTTCGGCGCCGCGTCGGCCATGACTCTGGAAGGTTTTCTCCGGAGGATATATCGGCGGCCCGTAATGGCCACCGTTTAGGTTGTATTGTCCCCCCGCCATGTGTTCGATGGATGGAGAAGGAGAGTTATAGGTGGCTTGCTGGGTTTCTTGAGCAACAAGGCGACGAAATATGTGAAGAGGTATAGAGGTCATAGTTGGTATTAATTAATTATCATCGATGGTATTAATATATATATATGTAGAAAAAGTGTTTCCTGATTCCATATGGATTCGGGTTAATCCTTGTTAATTTGTTTAGGAATCTAAATTGTATAAGCGGCGGTTAATTATATGTGGTTTTCATGCAAATACTAAAAAATAGTTATAATCTAAAGCTTAAAATTAAATTCAATAATAATGCAAACAGAAACTTCTAAGCAATTTCCATTGTGCCAGATATTTTATACTTGTTCATCATCACCATACAATTCAACTGTTCACAAATTAGTAATAACAATGGTGGGCTAATATTCATTTAATTTTTTGTAAAACAAATTAACCTCTACGTTCATTTTGCCCCCTCAAATTATTCGTGCTTAAATTTCATCAAAGTATAACTGAACAATCGATCCAAAGTAATATAGCTAACCAATAAAGTTTAGAAATGTGAAAATTTTATATCAACATGTAAAATTAATGTAGGTGAATACTAAAATTACTGCAACTCAAAAAGAAGAAGAAAGAACTTGATGGATTTTGATCAAAATAATTTATTTCAAAGAATAAAAGTATGATTCGGATAATTTATCTGTTTGGCAACAAAAAATCACCCTAACAATATTTTAAAAATATTTTCACCAAATCCGCTTACAAATATTTACATAATAAAATTATTAATGATAATATCTAACCACATGAAATTGATGATATCATCGGGTCGAGGAAAATGGCAGTGACCCTAAGATTAACGACTCCGTTAGCGTTTTTCAGTCATCCTCTAACGCATTCCGTACGGTCTCGATTAAGCAAATCGATTGGTACCGAGACAGCACCCTCCAGGACGGTGACAATGGCGGCTATTGCTGGGTCTGACTCAGAACCGACGTCGTCTATCTCCAGGGTCATCGATTCTCATCTCCACATCTGGGCTTCTCCTCAAGAGGTCGTGCTCGCACGCTTTGTTAATTCGAATCCAATCAAATTTTACAGTTTATAGAATTCCGGGTATGTACTAAAATCTCCAATTGAGTAAGTGATTCTGATTGATCCCCAAAATGTGTGTTTCAGGCCGCGACGTATCCTTATTTTCCCGGCCAAGAACCTACATTGACTGGTGATGTCGATTTCTTGCTCAAGGTATAAGTTGAGCTCTGACATTAAGTAACTCGAACTATCATGGGTTTTGAGAAAGTTTGGAAATTTTTTTTGTTCTTTGAGGCTTTCTGCGTCATTCCTCTGTTTACAGTTTTCTTGTTGACTGTCTTTCAACTTAGAACATGGAAGAGGCAAGAGTGGATGGAGCTCTCATTGTGCAACCCATCAATCACAAGTTTGATCATTCTTTAGTAACAAGGTAACGTTTCTTATTCTTAAAATCTGCAGTTTCCTAAAAGGACTGCCTTTTTGTGACATGGTATGCATTATAGGGGCCTAGGTTGGTCTTGGTTCTGTGTGAAAATTGAAAGGTTTTTGACTGATTCTCCAATTAAGCCAGACCTTACATTGCATGCGATGTCAGCGATTTAATTAAAGCCTCCTTTTCAAAATGACTTGGTTTCTTATTGACAGTGTTCTAAAGAAATATCCTTCGAAATTTGTCGGCTGTTGCCTTGCAAATCCTGCAGAAGATGGCAGTGGAATTAAACAGCTGGAGAATCTTGTTCTAGAGGTTTCTCCTTTAGGTCCTTCTTAAATATCATATATGCATCACACTTCTCTGACTTCTAATCTGTTACTGTAGAGTAATTATCGTGCTGTTCGGTTCAATCCCTATTTGTGGCCGTCGGGTCAGAAGGTACCAACTCTAATGATTCCTTCTGGATCAAGTTTCTACCGTACTCTTTTGATTGTCAAGTGATTTTCACAACGCAGATGACAAATGCTGTTGGAAAAGCCATGTTCTCTAAAGCTGGGGAGCTTGGTGTGCCTGTTGGCTTCATGTGCATGAAGGTCTGGTAGTATTTTCACCTGTGTGCTCTAAAGTATGCGTAGTTTACGCCAAGTCGTTCCTATAATTTTTGTGTTTACTGTACTCAGGGTCTGCATCTGCACATTGAAGAAATTGAGGAACTGTGCACGGAATTTCCAAAGACAGTAGTTCTACTAGATCACGCTGGATTCTGCAAAGTACCAGAGTGAGCTCTTCTTTGCTATTCTGAGAAACAATCTAGCCCCCTGCAATTTTCGAAACAAGATATTACTGAAATTCATGGTTTCATCAACCTGCAGAAATGGCGATGCAAAGCTTGCTTATACTCAACTCATGAAGCTCTCTAGATTCCCACAGGTGAAAAGGAAAAACTTTACCTTTTAGGTTTCAAATTCTCACTAGCTCACATATCATACGAGGCTGAGGAAAGGATATTGATACAAGCAGGTATATGTGAAGTTCAGTGCTCTATTCAGGATATCAAGAACCGGTTTCCCATATCAGGACCTATCGCCTCTCCTATCTCAAGTTGTATCCAATTTCGGTGCAAATCGTGTCATGTGGGGCAGGTAAACTTACTTATTCTACCTTGCTTTCCAACCGAAACATCAAAAACAAAAACTTTTATATGAACTAACAATACATGACCATGACAATGACCATCTGTGGATTGGCTGCAGTGACTTCCCATTTGTTGTTCTTGAATGTGGATACAAAGAAGCCAGAGAAGCTGTGACCATTATTGCAAAACAAGCATCCTTGTCAAATTCTGAGATGGATTGGATTCTGGGGAAGACTGTGATGCAGCTTTTTCCTGGACAATGGGTTCTTCCTTGAGAGGCTTCTCAGAAGTAATAGGTTGCATGAGGATGAGACAAACAAACAAAGAATGGAGTTATATCATTTAGAGACACATAACTCTTGTACTACCAAGCTACAATAAATGTATCACCAGTGTTCAAAGCTTGAAACATGCTGGTTAATATCATAATGCTTCACTGTGAGATTATGGAGGGCCTGGAAGCTGATGCCTATGTTAATAGTGCTTAAATAGACAATTTTTTTCCACTATTGGGTGAGACTTAATGATTCTTTTTGCGTGTTCAGTGAGGTGATGTGATCATTTATAACCGGGGAAGACTGGTAGCTTTGTTGAGAGGGAGAAAAATGGTGAACAAGTCTGGGATAGTTACTAAGAATTTGAGATTGTTGGGACTATCTCACATTTGAAGCTTGAAGGATGGAGGTTGTGAACTTGCGGTGATTACTGTTATCATTCGGATGGTTGAGAAGGCAAAGAGATAATAACAAGGCATGAGCCGTTATTGGATACAAAGAGAAAAAAAAAATAAGTTTGCCTTGTGGAAAACGTTCACAAATGCAAGTTTGATTACAAGAGAAATTCACGTGGTAGCTTGATGAATTTCAATGTCTTATTGATGATATATTAAGGCTGAGGAAGAGGGGAACTGTGTGAGACAGAGACCCTTATCAGTCATCGAAGCACTCTGTTTCAGGTCATGGATATGATGTGAAAGCCTTGATGATTGAGACATACATATCAATTCCCTTCAAGTACTCAGATTGACTCAGAGACTACAAAAAAACGACGAGATGAAAGAAAAGCATTAGAAATTACTCCTGAGAGGTAAGCAGAAGGATGTAGTATTTGCAAAGTTGGACTGACGTTACCTCATTGTGGTCATGAAGCAAGCTCGGGGTGTTTGATATAGGAGAGAAGCCAATCGCAGGCAAGCCTGCTTTCCTGAAATACCGAGAATCTGTTGATGCAGGGAAGATCTCAGGCTCACTAATCCTCCCTCCAGCTGCATTCACAGCATTTTCCAAGAGTCCCCACCATGGAATTGAATCATCTTTCGCTGTAAGTAACTGCTTCCCTGAAAGTTTCTGGTCGTACCGCTGCAACTGGCATACCGAGAGAAGTCTTCATCAGATTCAATCTTAAAGTTGTGGCGACGTTATTAATACTAAGAAAAGTTACCTCGAAGGACATGTTTCGGACAGAAGGTGCCCATTCCTCCACCAAACGTCTTTCTAGTGCTACTAAATCAGCAGTGGGTGGGATACGAATGTCGAAACCAGCTTCTGCCTCAGATGGTTGCAGATTCATCACAAAGCCCTTTATCCAAAAACAGGGTCAAATTGTTAGGTTCAGTCACAAAGGTCGGTTTTTGTAAAAAGAAAGGAAAGAAGAATACATCTGGAGAAGGAGTGCCAGCTTTGAGGAAAACCATGTTGACAGAGATTACTCCGCCGTCAGGTTTCAAACCAGCTTTGAGCTGATCAAACTGAGAAGCTCTGAACATCATCATACTCTCAATGCTTTTGGTTAGATTCTCCGCGGCTGAGTTATCGTAGAGCTTTGAGCCATGGCCAGGTTGTCCTACAGCTTTGATCTTAAGCGACCATGGCATCCTCTCTCCATTGAACACCCTGTAGATCCCCGTTTCAGATGGCAAGCCTGATATTCATTTTTAACAATCGTTATGTGCTTAAATTTGGCTTAGCTTCTAACATGTTGGTGTGCACATAAGCGTACCAAAATGTTTTACCTTCGTCGAGCACGACGGCGATGTTCAAGCTCTTGAAGATTTCCGATTCAACGAACTGGCCAACTCCATCAGCGCCACCGATCTCTTCATCGGGAACGAACGTGACGTAGACGGATCGACGCGGCTTAAAACCAGAGGCCTTGAGCTTGCGGATTGCTTCCAAGTACTGCATCCCAACGCTCTTCATGTCCTGAGCTCCCCTCGCGTAGATTTTGCCTTCTTCGTCGATTTCTGCTCCGAGCGGCGGATGGTCCCACTTGTCTTCCTCATAGGGGACGACATCGATGTGTGAGTTCAAGAGAATCGCAGGTAACGAAGGATCTGATCCAATCCATTTCAGGAGAACAATCTTCTTCCCCTCAACGAATTCGATCGACTGAGATTCGAGAGAGATGGACTGAGCCTGGGAGAGAAGGAAAGCTGCGGCTGCGCGGTAATCAGGAGTCGGCTGTACGGTGTTGATTCGGAGGTACTCCTGGAACCTGAAAATGATATTCTTCTCCTCTGTTTCAGCTAAAGACGCAGAGAGAGCCATTGATGACGACGAATTTAGCAGTAGCAGAGTGGTGAAGAAGCTTTCTCCTCTTGAGCTTTACGATGCCGCCATTAATAAGCAAGTTTGAAACGCGTGTTCCACGTGACCATCCACGTGCGTCTCTCCACCCAAACCGGATCCGGTCCCGTTATTTTAACTCTTGATTTGGGATCGCTTAATAATTATACGGGAAATGTGTATTACTATTTAAACTTCAATTAGCACATGTGGCTAAATTTTTTATAAAAAAAAACAGTTAAGATTTGTGAATTTAAAGTTATAATTGACCATAGGATATCGCATCTTTGAGGTGTTCTTCTTACAACTATACATTCTTTTTTAATCATTGTTGGGATCATCACATATTAATTGAAGACTACATGTTTTTTTTTTAATTCTTTTCTAATTTTCAATCAAAGCATATAATGATTATATTTTATAGTATTTTATATACTTAATGAATGAGAAAGCAAATGATAGGAGCTTCTGGACATACATATATATTCTGACTCATTTGGTTTTGCTTGTTCGTACTACTTTAGCATGAAGCAGTTTTTCTGCTCGGACATTTGACCACATCTAGTGATACTTAAGCTCTTATTGACAGTGGCACAGTCCATATATTCATCCAAATTCTCCAATCTGACAGGGTGGAAGACCAAATATTGGTATTATAGTTATCATTTGTCTAGTGTTTTCAAGTATGTTAGATCATTGCTGAGTTCTTTCACGAAACTCGGATGTTGTCATGTGGGCATCTACGGCTCTCGGATGGCTCTCTTCATCCAGCAATAGTAGAACTTTACATCAATTTCTGGACTTAGGAATGTTTCCTCGAGTTGTTGAATTCTTACAGTAAATTTATCTTTAGCATGATAACATGATTTTATTTAAGGTTGTCCGAATTTTTAGAGCTAAAGCTTATATGTTTTTTTAGATATCAGACTCCCTCTAATTTTAGGTAGAGCTGGATGTGGTGCCTAACCACTGCACATAAAATTAATTTGTATAACTAAACCTCACATGGACATGTGGTTGTATCTATGTAAATTGAAAGGGTAAGCACTCAAGGAGACACAATTTCAATTCTCATTAAAAGAGATAATTTTGTTAGCTTTTTCTAATTTTGGTATATATATATATATATAAATAAATATCCAAAACTTTCCAAATTAATACCCCCTTCAAAAAAAATGTGTAATAGACATGAATCTCATATCCAAATAGTAAGTCAACATATCATGATCTGATGTGATTAACTATCAGACATTTTTATCTTCCCAAACCTCCTGTGTCGACAATCATCTTATAGTTTGGACAATCATCTAAATTAATGTATTCTTAAGATACAGATTAAGTGGAACTGTCTAAACTTTGATTTTTGAACATACATTGGTATTATTCTGCAGATTCCTGTGAATATAATAAGATTGTCGAGAATTTGTCTCTCGGGGTGACTTTATTGGATTGCGGTTCTTAATCAACTTTTTTTATTTTTGTTTTAAAACATAACAAGGACTGTGTTTGAGGAACAAAACCCAAGTTACAAGGTTTACATTTCTGAAAATGATATTATTCTCCTCTGTTATGTTTCAAGGCTGGTTGGTCCATCCTGTTAACGCAGTTGATAACATCGCTGTTTGGACTCTGATTCGTCAAGGTTGAAGTGGCTCCACAAAGATTCTTCAAAACATAGATGTATCTAAAAGCAGAGATGATCCAACATATAAAACGAATCTCTTAACTATATTTTCTGAAATTACAAGTTTTTAATTTGTTAAAAATAATTTCGAATGAGACATAAAAAAGTGAAGACTAGTCATGTCAGAGACTCTTTAAATGTCTCGAGCAAAACCGTAATGGTTTGGACAGGGCGTGACCATGGACAGCCGGCCCATTTGACACCTCTCAGTTTATGTTCGAGACATTTAGTGTGGCTTTCGTCTCATAAATTGGTTGGTGTTTTGGTATTTCATATGCGCAATTGCATACTATTATATACACGTATGTTATATAAAATATAAATGTTTAAAAACAAATAATCAACACAACAATAACCCATAAGTCTCTTCATGGCTTGACACATCAGCATTTTCAAGCTTTTAGGAGGTGACATTTCAGCAAAAAAATACACCAATAAAAACATTTCATTAATACAAGTCATCAATTTATTTTAACTTTTAAATTTAAACTCATTAAAAACTTAAATTTTTTTTATTGTTAATTTTAGTTTTATTTTTTGGGCAAGTCCAAGCCCAAATAATAAATAACAACAAATAAAAAAAATTTGTTTTATTTTTTTAACAAACCCAAATAATAAATAACAACAACTAATAAAATTAAATCTTTGTTTTATATTTTTGCCAAACCGAAACTCTAATAATAAATAACAGCAAAAAAAGTAAAATTTATAACTATGTGTTTGCTTGATAGAGATGTATATGATTGAAGAAACTGTAGACTCATCATCAACTATGTTTCCATAACAACAATGCAAAAAGCGTTATGTTATAAGAAGCTCACACATCAGCAAAAAACTGAACCAATAAAAATATAACAATAATACATATTATTAACACATTAATAAAACCAATTTACTATTTTGCTGACCCATTAAAAAGCCCAAAGTTTACAAAAAAAAATGGAAGACGAAAGCAAATGAGGAGAAACTCAGACCACCACAGCTTGGAGATTCGCATTTCCACTGGTTACCGAGAACAAATTTTCTTGGGTTTGGCGGAAATAGAGAATTTTTTAGTTTTGGTAGAAAAATGTGATTTTTAGTTTTGGTAGGAAAACATAGTTTCTCGGTTATAGCGGAAAAAAACGAATTCCCGGGTTTGGTGGAAAAATATGAATTTTTGGTTTTAGTGAGAAATAAAAAATATGATTTTGACGAGAAAATGTGAAGGAAATGCAACTTTTCAATTTTGACAAAAAATACGATTTCTCGGTTTTGATAGAAAATACAATTTTTCGGCTTTTGATGGATAATGTAATTTCTTGATTTTGCGGAAAATTGTAATTTGACAATTTTGGCAGAAAATGCAATTTTTCGGGTTGATAGAAAAGTAAAATTTCTTGATTTTGGCGGGAATAAACAATTTCTTGGTTTTGATGGGAAATGCAAATTTTCAGTTTTTGACATATAATTTGATTTTTGGTTTTCGAGGAAAAATATGATTTCTTAGTTTTCGTAGGAAACACAATTTCTCAGGAGATAATGCAATTTTTAGTTTTTGCGGAAAAATGTAGTTTATCGGTTTTAGTAGGAAGGCGTGATTCTTGATTTGACGAGAAAAATATGTTTTTCTTGTTTTGGTGGGAATAGACGATTTCTCAATTTTTGTGGGAAAATAATTTTTTTGTTTTGACGGAAAAATACTGTTTTTTTGTTTTTGCAGGAAGATGAAATTTTTTGGTTTTGGTGAAAAAACTTAATTTATCTGTTTTGACGGAAAAACACAGGTTCTCGCGGGAAAATGTGATTTTTTGGTTTTTGAGGAAAAATGCAATTTCTTTGTTTTGGTAGGAAAATGAAATTTCAGGTTTGACGAGAAAATGAATTTTTTTTTGTTTTGGCGGGAATAAGCGATTTCTCAGTTTCGTGGGAAATAATTTTTTTTGTTTTATCGGAAAATACAATTTCTCGATTTTTGTAAAAAAGTAAAATTTATGTGTGTTATATTTTCAAGTTATAATATGTTTACAGTAACCAAATTTGAATTATTTAACTTCAACTAAATTAATATTTCAACAGTTCAAATAGAACTTTCTAATTAGTTCTAAAGTAATAGTAATGATTTTGATATGAATGTTATTGATTATAGTTTGGTAGTTTTAGAAACATATGTCTATAATAAATATTTGATAAATAAATAAATTTTATAATTTAAAATAATCATATTAATTAATATTTTTTTAAATGGTAATTTGCTTTATATAAGTTCAAAGGAGGATCAAATAGCAATTTAGTAGAGAAAATAAATTACATCTACCATTAGCTTGAAGGTACTTAAAAATGTATTGTTTTATTCTTACATATACATTTATAGATAGTTAACTAAACAAATTTGATAGTAGATTATAATTTTAAAAAATAAAAAACTTAATGATATCATGTTTATTCAGATTTAAAACATATAAATACATAACTTAAGCTAATAAAAAAAAATATAATATTCATTTAAAATATATAAATAATTTTATTATATTAAAAATATATACAAATCTAGAAAAATATTCCGCAGCGTAGCGCGGATAAATACCTAGTTATATTACAATAATCAAAGAGGTCTCTACAAATCAACACAACAATAATACTAAAGTCTCTCTATAGCTTGACAACTCAGCTTTTTCAAGTTACCAAAAACTGACACATTAGCGAAATTAACAATCAATCAAAACATTTTATTAATACACATCATCTACTAATTTTTATTATTTTTAACTTAAACCCATTAAAAGCTCAAATATTTTTCTTTGTTAATCTTTATTTTATTTTTTGACAAACTCAAGCCCAAATAATAAATAACAGCAAAAAAATTTGTTTTATTTTTTATCATCCCAAAATCCAAATTTTAGCGGAAAATACAATTTTTTGATTTGATGGGAAAACAAAATTTTTCGATTTTGTCATGAATAAGCAATTTCTCGGTTTTGATGGGAAAGGTAAATTTTCAGTTTTTGACATATAATGTAGTTTATCGGTTTTGGTAGGAAGGCGTGATTTTTGGTTTGACGAGAAAAATAACTTTTTTTTGTTTTGACGGGAATAGACAATTTCGCGGTTTTTGCGGAAAAATAGTTTTTTTGGTTTTGACGGAAAAATATGAATTTTTGGTTTTTGCAGGAAGATGAAATTTTTTGGTTTTGGTGAAAAAACTTGATTTTCTGTTTTGGCGGAAAAACACAGGTTCTCGTGGGAAAATGCGTTTTTTTTTTTGTTTTTGCGTGGAAATGCAATTTCTTTGTTTTGGTGGGAAAATGAAATTTAAGCTTTGACGAGAAATGATTTTTTTTTGTTTTGATTTTGGTGGGAATAGGCGATTTCT